CCTCATAGGGCTTGTTCTCCAGACCTTTGATCATTTTAGTCTCTTAGTCCTCAGGGCCTTTCCACACAGCCATATAATCCAGAATAATTCACAATATCGGCTTTGCACTGGGTTATGAGTCCACACGACCATATAATCAAGTTCAATGTGGATTTTCTACAGCTGTGTGGAAGGGGTCAGTTAGGGAAATCCACCCTCCGAGGAAACCTGATGCCGGCGCATAAAAACCCAGCATGCACAGCTCCAGCCTTCCATTTCTGCGCCTGCGTGTTTCTGCCATAGTCCCTTTACCGGCTCCCTAGTTTCCCGCGCATGCGCACTAGCTATGGTGGGCCGCACTCAGGCGCATGCGCACATTCTCCCCGGCCTTTTCATTCCCCTGCGCCCCTCGTTCCTTCCCTCCTGCTAAGGCCCTGCACCCCAAATATCAACACACCAGAGGCACGACCGCCACCTAGTCCTGCTGGGGAGAGCTTTGCTTCAAGCGCAAGCCAGCTCCGCAGCCTTCCACCTCGAGCAGCTTCTTGCCGACGCCAGCTCTCACAGAGTGGCAAGATGGCGGCAACAGCTTGGCGCATGCGCACACCTCACTGCGCCTAGGAAGGCGTGTCTGCACTCAGGGAGGAAAGCGCGCCCCGGATGGACGGAGGTGGAACTACACTGGTCTCTTCTGCACAACCACTCAGAGATGTAGAATCATAGAATCAAAGAGTTGGAAGAGACCTCATGGGCCATCCAGTCCAACCCCCTGCCAAGAAGCAGGAATATTGCATTCAAATCACCCCTGACAGATGGCCATCCAGCCTCTGTTAAGTCCTGTCTTGTTTCCACAGTGGCCATCCTACTGTTAGCCTGCTGTAGCACGAACAATAGCCAGAAAAGTGCCATAACACTTAACAGTTCTGCATATTTTTAGAGTTTACTAGCCATCCCCTCCCACACGTTGCTGTGGCCCACAGGGGGAATCTGTGTGGGAGGTTTGGCCCAATTCTATCATTAGTGGGGTTCAGAATGCTCTGTGGTTGTAGGTGAACTATAAATCCCAGCAACTACAACTCCCCAATGTCAAGATTCTATTTTCCCCAAACTCCACCAGTGTTCACATTTGGGCATATTGAGTATTCGGTGTAGAGTTTGGTCCAGATCCATCATTTTGAGTCCACAGTGATCTCTGGATGTAGGTGAACTACAACTCCAAAACCAAAGGACACTGCCACCAAACCCTTCCAGTATTTTCTGTTGGTCATGGGAGAACTGTGTGCCAAGTTTGGTTCAATTCCATCATTGGTGGGGTTCAGAATGCTCTTAGATTGTAGCAAGGAACATGAAAGGCACTGCAGACTACTTCAACCAGAGAAATCAGCCATAGCACAGCACCTGATGAACCAACCGGACACAGCATTTTATTTGAGAACACAGAAATGCTGGACCACTCTCACAACCACCATGTCAGACTACACAGAGAAGCCATTGAAATCCACAAGCATGTGGACAATTTCAACAGAAAGGAGGAAACCATGAAAATGAACAAAATCTGGCTACCGTATTAAAAAACTCTAAAATTACAACAGCAAAACAACAGAGAGGAAACAACCAGGCACATCTTAACACCTCTCAACAAAAGATTTCCCCAGGCTCAGCCAGGCCTACAAATGCTAATGAAGGTGGTCAGTTGAAACATTCACACCTAGCTCCAGCAGAGAAGAGCTCTTTGTCCCACCCTGGTCATTCCACAGATATATAAACCCCATTTGCCTAGTTTTCAACAGAACTCACTACCTCTGAGGATGCTTGCCATAGATGCAGGCGAAACGTCAGGAGATAATGCCTTTAGAACATGGCCATATAGCCCGAAAAAACCTACAAAATGTCAAGATTCTATTTTCCCCAAACTCCACCAGTAGTCACATTTGGGCATATTGAGTATTCGTGTAGAGTTTGGTTCTGATCCATCATTGTTTGAGTCCACAGTGATCTCTGGATGTAGGTGAACTACAACTCCAAAATCAAAGGACACTGCCCACCAAACCCTTCTGTTGGTCATGGGAGAACTGTGTGCCAAGTTTGGTTCAATTCCATATTTGGTGATGTTCAGAATGCTCTTTGATTGTAGGTGAACTATAAATCCCAAATGACAAAATCAATTTTTTTTTTAGTGAAGGACATACATTATGTTGTTAGATGTCTTGCGTCCAAAGTTGGTGTCAATTCGTCCAGTGGTTTTTGAGTACTGTTAATCCCACAAACGAACATTACATTTTTATTTATATAGATACTATACTATACTTTGAGAAACTTTCCAATGAGGATTGGAAGGGGAAAATGTAGGAAAAGGCATTCGACACAGTGAATTGCAGCGCTCTCTGGACCATCCTCCAAAAAATCGGGTGCCCTAACAAATTTGTGAACATCCTGCGGCTCCTCCATGAAGACATGATGGCAACAGTCTTGGACAGCAATGGCTCCCAAAGTGACCCATTTAAGGTGGAATCAGGTGTCAAACATGCTGGTCGCTTCTGTGGTGAGAGAATCAGCCGTCTACGAAGATGTTGCCCAGGGAACGCCCAGATGTCTTGCAATCCTGCGAGGAGGCTTCTCTGATGTCCCCCCACATGCACAATGGAGGACCTTCTTGCAGCAACACCAGAAGCACTGTAAGTGGCCAGATACTGGTCAAAGGACATTTAATCAACTACCAAACTCACAAATTTTGTATTTGTCTGTTTGTTTGCTTTGTTCTGTTAGAAATGTAATATAATTGACTGGTTGTCCTGACACGACAAATAAAAATAGGTGTCAAACAGGGATGTGTTATTGCCCCGACCTTATTTTCCATCTTCATCGCTATGATACTTCATCTTGTTGATGGGAAGCTTCCCACCGGAGTGGAAATCATCTATCAGACAGATAGCAAGCTGTTTAACCTTAGCAGACCGAAAGCGGAAACCAAGGTTACAACAACATCTATTATAGAACTCCAATATGCTGATGACAATGTCATCTCTGTGCATTCAGAAGACCTACAAGCCACTCTTTAACATCTACGCAGAAGCATACAACAAGGTCGTCTTGTCATTGAACATCGAGAAAACCAAAGTGTTATATAAAGTGAAAACCAAAATTGCATTTTCCAGGACTTGAGCCGTGATATAAACAGCACAATTGAAGCCTGAGCAATGGTATGTATTAAGCCACGGCCGGGGACTATTCCATCCTACTTAGACTATGTGATGTTAATTGCAAAACAGCGTTTATTACTTGTGTTTTTCTTTCAAGATAGGAACCAAGTGCTTGGAATTAAAAGGAGTTTCGATCCGGATTGTATAGACAAGTTAATGTGCTCATGAAAATGTAACGGTCAAGATGTACTTGGCAAGCTAGAGCCACCATTCATACACAACTTCCCATTTTCATATCAGATTAGTGCCGGAAGAAATTTGCCAGAAATAACTATGGCCTATTCAAATACATTCGTAACGGTCAGTAGTTTTAATTGTCTGAGTTGGCAGACATGCTAGATTTTGTTCTAGTTGAATTCATGTGGGAGAGAAAAAATGGGCACATTGCCTTCTGGATCTTAAACCTCACTATGTAAGAACTCAGCACTTCTGTACAGCTGTTCTTGCAAAAGGGGCAACGGTATGGCCTTTTCCGCTGGAAGTAAAGAGGAGAAAAACAGCACTGAATGCCAGGTTCCAAGAGAACCAGTTATTGGAAATTACTTAACACCTTGTATCAATGGAAGAGAATGAGCCCTGATACATGCACAATGGAGGACCTTTTTGCGGCAATACCAGAGGCACTCCAAGTGGCCAGATACTGGTCAAAGGACATTTAATCAACTACCAAATTTGCAAAATTTGTGCTTTTTCTCTCTCTGTTTGTTTGTTTTGTTCTGTTAGAAATGTAATACAATGGTATGGTTGCTGATGACACGATAAATAAATAAATGGAAGAGAATGTACTTATTCAATAGAAACCAAAAAACAACATTCAATAGTAGAGAGTACATGTACGAAACATTTAATCAAAAAGCAAAGTGGATATTTTCTGTTATTTATAGTTTCAAAAAGACAGAAATTCTCACGAAAGAATAGCAAGAGTAGAAAAAATTGTGCACATCTTTTGTTGAGAGGTGATTAGCTGTCCCTGATTGTTTCCTCTCTGTTGTTTTGCTGTTGTAATTTTTAGAGTTTTTTTAACTACTGGTAGCCAGATTTTGTTCATTTTCATGGTTTCCTCCTTTCTGTTGAAATTGTCCACATGCTTATGGATTTCCATGGCTTCTCTGTGTAGTCTGACCTGATGAACCAACCTGGACACAGCATATTATTTGAGAACACAGAAATGCTGGACCACTCTTAACAACCACCATGTCAGACTACACAGAGATTGCCCCAGGCAGCAACAAGCCACACCAAACAACTGCCAGGCCATCAAATGCTAATGAAGGTGGTTAGTTGAAACATTTACATCTAGCCCCAGCAGACAAGAGTTCTTTGCCCCACCCTGGTCATTCCACAGATATATAAACCCATTTTCCTAGTTCCAACAGACCTCACTACCTCTGAGGATGCTTGCCATAGATGCAGGTGAAACGTCAGGAGAGAATGCCTCTAGAACTTGGCCATATCGCCCGAAAAAAACCTATAACAACTCAAAAGAGCCATGTGATGCCTATCAGGACAATCATCTGGCACTTTGATGATAAGGTCCATGTGGCTTCTATAGGGCTTCATCCACCATGCCTTCTTTAACAGGGGAAGGTATTAGGTGGGTTTGTTGTGCACGGGCTTCCTCAGCTGGGAACTATATGGCCATGTCTCCTAATGTCATCTAGCCCTTTGCTTGATGCCCAGGCAACCAACCGCTGCTTCCTGCTGTAGTCTCACACATGTGGAGGGTTTTCAAGCTAAGGAAAAAAAACTATGATACACTATCTATAGTAGAAATAGGCATTAAAATCTTATCTTTATTTCCAAAATACTAAAAATCTAACAATGAACTACATTTCCTTTAGAAAACGTTAAATTTTGTCTATGCATGCATAGAAAGAAGGGTTGAGAAGAAATTTCATGTTGAAGATTCCCTCTTCATTAGAAACATACTGGTTCTGGAGTGTGCCATGAAGTTTATATTTTTCCTACATCTTCGCCCATTAAAATATGTAGGATCTGCTGGCAGTCACAGAGAACAACAACGATTGGTCCTGTGGGATGCTGGCTGCTTCACTTTGCAAATTTCGAGAACTTGTATAATTGAAACAATACTAGAAGCTAGACCTTGAGTTTGTCAGGATTATTGAGATATGTATGTGTGTTTTTCAATGTGTTTCTATGTAATTCAAGATGGATTAAGATGTATTTCAAGATGGATTCTATTTTGCTCAATTGTGTATTAGAAATACTGTGAAAGGCAGAGAAAATGTAACCTTTACAGAAATGGCTGGGAAGAAGTGGGAGGATCTGGTCTCAGCCAGAAGTGAGATAAGCAGATGTTCAGAAACAGTTGTGTTGTGCTTTGTCGTTCCTGTCTGATGCCTGCTGTGAATAGACGTGTGTAGATGTACTTAGTAAACTTAGTTTTCTGTTGTAACTAAAAGCTTGCAGAGTCCTGATTTCTGAAACACAGCGTCTGCTGATCTAGCAATCTTTCCACTGACAAACGTCAATACTCTGACAGAGTTTTCTATAATTATGAAAAAAGGAAGAGCGAACAAATCCAGTTATTGTGATCTTCATCTTGCTTTGTGTGAAAGGATCAAGAATATCACACGGAAGGAGAAATTCTTCATTTGGTCCAGTTTTCTCAGATTTTCAAAATTAAGTTGGTTTCTTCCTGATTTCCACATAGAAATTGTTAGAGAACATTGTTTTATAATTCCCAATAAGAAGCTAGTCATTCCAGACTTATTGCAAGTATTCCATTTCAAAAGGTAACAGACCACCAAGTCAAATAGGACCCTGCTGGGATGTAGCGGCTTAATGCAAAGTGTAGGGACAGTTCTTTAAGCTTTCTAGTTTGGCTTTCACTTTAAGAACAAACTCCTCCGAGGCACTTGAGAGTGGAAGCCGTGGTGGGCCCATTGGTATCCCTGAAATCAAACTCATAACCGCTTTGATCTGTGGAACACCAAATCCTATAAAAATAAAAATAGAGAACATAAATATATTTCTTAAAAACATGACCTTCTCTGATATTGTTTCTGCAGTTGATTATATAAAGTAATACCTGTTTAAAAATATGTTTTACCATTATGAACTTTTGTGGAAGGGCATACGAGCAGACTTAAAGAAATGTAAAGGGCTTTGGAGGACAAAGTGCTATGGGATCATTATTCCGGGAAGGCACACTGGAACAGCCACGTCTTCAAGCTCCTTCTGAAGACTGCCAGAGTTGGGGCCTGTCTGATGTCTTTAGGGAGTGAGTTCCAGAGTTGAGGGGCCACCACCGAAAAGGCCCTCTCTCTCGTCCCCACCAATCGCGCCTGCGATGCTGGTGGGATCGAGAGCAGGGCCTCTCTGAATGATCGAAGGGATCATGTGGGTTCGTATACAGAGATGAGGTCACGCAGGTAGGCAGGTCCCAAACCGTTCTGGGCTTTGTAGGTAAGAACCTGCACCTTGAATTGTGTCCGGTAGATGAATGGTAGTCAGTGGAGCTCCTTGAACAGGAGGGATGACCGCTCCCTGTAAGGAGCCCCAGTTAACAACCTGGCTGCCACCCGTTGGATCATCTGAAATTTCCGGGCCGTTTTCAAGAGCAGCCCCACGTAGAGTGCATTGCAGTAATCCAGTCTAGAGGTGACTAAAGCGTGGACCACCTTGGCCAGTTCCGCCTTCCTGTGGTATGGTCGCAGTTGGCGCACGAGTCTTAATTGTGCAAAGGCCCTCCCAGCCACCACCGACGCCTGAGCCTCAAACGTAAGTGAAGAATCAAGAGGACCCCCAAACTGCGGACCTGTGACTGTGCTACTGTAAGTTCCCTATGAGGAGTGGCTTAAAGAGCTGGGCATGTTTAGCCTGAAGAAATGTGCCAGGAGGAAGGCACGTCAAGCCAACCCCAATCGAGACTGCCTTCCACCTGGAAACCAATGCTCTCACTGTGGGAGAAGATGCAGGTCAAGAATAGGGCTCCACAGCCACCTACGGACCCACAAGAATACTGATCATGGAAGAGTATCCTACTCGTCCAACAAGGGATCGCCTAAGTAAGTAGCCTAAAGAAGAGAAGGCTGAGCCATGTATAAATATGTGAGGGCCAGGAAGTCACAGGGAGGAGGGAGGAAGCTTATTTTCTGCTGCCCTGGAGACTAGGACGCGGAACAATGGCTTCAAACTACAAGAAAGGAGATTCCATTTGAACACTAGGAAGAACTTCCTGACTGTGAGAGCCGTTCAGCAGTGGAACTCTCTGCCCCGGAGTGTGGTGGAGGCTCCTTCTTTGGAAGCTTTTAAACAGAGGCTGGATGGCCATCTGTCAGGGGTGATTTGAATGCAATATTCCTGCTTCTTGGCAGGGGTTGGACTGGACGGCCCATGAGGTCTCTTCCAACTCTATGATTCTATGGTGGATACAGAGTCTATGATTCTATGATTCAAGAATGTATCCCCCAAAGATAAGGGGATTCAGTACATGGGAAGAGACAATATTCTGACAGTGAAAATGGATGTACAAATTACTTGCATGTTCACAAGTTGCTTGCTAAATTGGCCCTAATACATAAATCAATATTTAGTGTTTAATGTTATTGTTGTTAATGCTACAATAATCATTCCATAAAATTTTAATCAATAAACAAATTAATGCATTTCAAAAATGATATCAAGTGTCTGAATGAAAAGAAATCTGACTGTATTTCTTGAAACAATGAGATCAAGCTCCACAACAATGCAGCAAAAATGTATCTGAAGAAAATTTACAAAGGAAGAGCGGGTTAAACGATTTTTTTTTTGTCGTGTCAGGAGCAGCCTGAGAAACTGCAAGTCGCTTCTGCTGTGAGAGAATTGGCTGTCTGCAAGGACGTTGCCCAGGGGACGCCCGGATGATTTATGATGTTTTATCATCCTTGCAGGAGGCTTCTCTCATGTCCCCACATGGGGAGCTGGAGTTGATAGAGGGAGCTTATCCGCCTCTCCCTGGATTCGAACCTGCGACCTGTCGGTCTTCAGTCCTGCTGGCACAGGGGTTTAACCCACTGCACCACCAGGGACTCCAACAATTAAATTGAGCCTTTCACATCATATGTGGGTGATGAAACTGAAACTTGGACAGAATTCAGAATTATTCAGTTCAGAAGGGGAAGAAAAACTTTCACGATACTGTTGTACCTACCTTGAGCAATAACAAAGCCGAGGAATTCCTGAACACAGAACTAGGAGAGATAACAAGGAATGTTAAGGGTTTTTTTACGTGACTTATTTTACTGAAACTGATGGTATTACATGAATTGTGTAACTAGAGGATTCCAGATAAATGTAGCTGAAGCATAGCCCCATCAGCCCTGGTCAGCACAGCCAACGAACAGTCTCACCAGTAACTGCCATGTCAAATGAACTGAGATATTGTTCAACCATTTGCATACTTCTGTCTTTGAGCTGTCTTCCAAATGCTACCACTCTCTAAAGTAATGTCACCGACAATGGGAACTGGATAATACATGCCTGTAGGCTGCATATATAGTTAGGAAAGCTTCCTGCAAGAGGTTAACTTGGTGAAAATTCTGTTTCAATGCAAGTGAATAATTTGCCCTATTGTTGAACATGGATGGAGCAAGCATGCTCCCCTGAGGCAGGCCGTTCTTCTGTTTCCGCCATCTCTGGCCCTGGAACTCAACAAAAAAGCTCCTGTTTTGTAGCAGGTTTCCTATGAGGCGGGTGAGGTGGTAGTCCTTTTTGATATTGTACATTTTTCTCAGGAGGAGGCGGTGGTTCACAGTATCATAGGCTGCTGACAAGTCTATGAAGAAAAGCTCCTGCCTTTCACCTTAAGAACATACAAGCATCCCGAGCTCTGAGGATTACCTGGGAAGGAATCCCATTGGAGCATTGCAGCACACCCAAATAATTGGGAGTCACTCTGGACCGTTCTCTTACCTACAAGAAGCACTGCCTGAACATCAAGCAAAAAGTGGGTGCTAGAAACAATATCATACGAAAGCTGAGTGGCACAACCTGGGGATCACAGCCAGACACAGTGAAGACATCTGCCCTTGCGCTGTGCTACTCTGCTGCTGAGTGTGCATTCCCACTGTGGAACACATCCCACCACACTAAAACAGTGGATGTGGCTCTTAATGAGACATGCCGCATTATCACGGGGTGTCTGTGTCCTACACCACTGGAGAAATTACACTGCTTAGCCGGTATTGCACCAACTGACATCTGCCGGGAAGTGGCAGCCAATTGTGAAAGGACCAAGGCAGAGACATCTCCAGCTCATCCCCTGTTTGGGTATCAGCCAGCACATCAATGACTTAAATCAAGAAATAGTTTTCTAAGATCTACAGAGACACTCACTGGAACACCCCAGCAAGTGAGAGTCCAAAAGTGGCAGGCTCAAACCCAGAACCTCAACCAATGGCTGATACCAAATGAGAGACTCCCCCCTGGGCACACAGAAGACTGGGCGACTTGGAAGGCGCTGAACAGACTGCGCTCTGGCACCACGAGATGCAGAGCCAACATCAAGAAATGGGGCTACAAAGTGGAATCCACGACATGCGAGTGTGGAGAAGAGCAAACCACTGACCACCTGCTGCAATGCAACCTGAGCCCTGCCACATGCACGATGGAGGACCTTCTTGCAGCAACACCAGAAGCACTCCAAGTGGCCAGCTACTGGTCAAAGGACATTTAATCAACTCACAAATTTTGTATTTTGTCTGTTTGCTTGCTTTGTTCTGTTAAAAATGTAATATAATTGACGGGTTGCCCTGAAAAAACAAATAAAAATAAAAATACTTGCCCTATTTTCCAAGGCCTTTAAAACTGTCATCTACTTTGCTTCCTCTACTCCTCTTTCTATGTGATGTTTTTACTGATACCTTAAGATTTTTATCTTGACAGGGTTACATTTATTTTTTAAAAATATATTTTGTGAACCTCTCTGGAAACCTCAGTGTACAGTTACTAAATGTAAAAAAAGAAAGGAAACATGGAACCGCTCAGAACAGAAGCCCTCATCTTAAGAGAGTTGGGGCCTGGCCACAATTAATTAATTAATTATTGGGTGCAAGAGCAGAATTCATATCTTTTCCAGTAATGAACATAAGCTTCATAATCTGTATCAGAGAATTGCATATAATATTTTTCTGCATTAAATAGCTAGAATCCTCTTGGTGAATGATGTGTATATATAGGAGAGCCCCTTTGCATCATTGGTCCATCAGATCACCAGCATCAGATGGGATCTCAACCAGTGTCTTGTAATAAATGCAGAAAATAACACTATCATGTTATAAATGCAGAGTATACAGAAAGGTGGCTCTTATCTAACAAGTGACATATACAGGCAGTCCCCAAGTTATGAACAAGATAGGTTCTGTAGGTTTGTTGAATTTGTATGTAAGCTGAAACATATACGAGGGGTATTTTTTAAATAAGGTACGTTTTGTTGTAGACACTAGTAGTTCGCGCGCATACCGCAAGCAGCGCGTGCGTTGTGTACCGGCATGCCTCGGGAACAACCGTGCTCAGTTTCCGCTCTGTAGCTAACCTGTACGGTTCTGTTCTGTGCTTTAAAAATGTTTAAGACTATCAACTCACCCGCCGATGAATTTCTGCAGCAGGCAGGTTCCTTGCTGACAAAAACCGTATCACTGAGCGAACCTCACATGCGGCGGGTGAGTTGATAGTCTTAAACATTTTTAAAGCACAGAACAGAACCGTACAGGTTAGCTACAGAGCGGAAACTGAGCACAGTTGTTCCCGAGGCATGCCGGTACACGACGCACGCGCCCGTTGCGGTATGCGCGTGAGTCGCCCTAGGGCTGAGAACAGCGGTTAACAAATGCAGTAAATAAATAAATACTAGAGTCTACAACAAACGGACCTTACTTAAAAAATACCCCTCGTACTTTTAATACTCTTAAAAAGTGTTATTCTAGACATAGAGAGAGAGAGCGAGAGAGAGAGAGAGAGAGATAGCTTTGGATAACATAGAGAGCTAGCTTTGGATAACATTTGGATAACATGTGGTGTTTGTTTTGCTGTCAGTACCCCTGTTCAGAAGATTTCACTTCACCTTCGGTACCTGTAATAATTGGATTTTGAAAAATTGATAATTCTTCCAGGAGTGAATTTCCTTTTCTGGGGTAGATTTCTCTCACCTCCTGTTGTCTTACACCTGTTCTTAACTATGAGCTGTCTGTAGGATGTTTGTAACTTGGGGACTGCCTGTATACTTAGAAATCTGTGTTTCAGTGTTTCCATGCCCATGATGTGTTTCCCGGTTTGGAATCAAAACTTAAAATTACTAAAACATTATTGCTGAGTGCCTTCAAGTAATGTCCAACTCATGACAACCCCGAAGTGAAACATTCATGAGGCTTTCTTAGCATTATGTATTCATAGGTTGTTGCTATTATTTTCCTCGGAAGCTGAGAAAGTGTGACTTGCCAAAGGTCATCTAGTAGGTTTTGATCGCTAAGCATGGCTTCTAGCCCTGGCCACCCTGAGTTGCCTTCGGGCTGAAATGGGCAGGATTAAAATGATGTAAATAAATAAATAAGTCAAATGTTAAAATTATTATAGCACACTGGTTCTCAACCAATGCATTAATGTTAATACTGGATGTGATTTTGGTGCTGCACTATTTGAAACAGAGAAACATCCAAAATCTGCGCCAAATTGCTCTTTAAGATATTTTAAAAATAAATTTCATTCAATATTATTATTCACATGTAGTTTCAAAGTTCCTGCATAGAAGTACTTGCAAGTTAAGGAGGATGCTATATGTACTATATACAAAGAGGAGTGGGAGGAAGAATCTGCACATCTTATGTTACACTGAGGTCAGCTTGAGTCAGACACAGCCTACCTGATATTTTTGTGCAGAATGAAGATCTCCACTGGCAAAAGCTTCCAGCATCAAGTTGTTTATCTTGCCCAAATAGTTATATGTACTGTAAAAAAAACAAACAGCCCAACACATGGATAGAATTTAGCATTAAAGAAATGTCCGCACACTGAAATTAAAACAGAGCAAGCAGAACAACAGTTCTGATCTTGCCCATCAAGAGTAGATGTCACATGCGATAACCCAATATTGTTACCCAATCCAAGATTGCATCACTTAGATTGCCCTTCGGAAGCCCATACATTTCATATGCCAACCAGAAAGCTCCAGTTTTGAAATCTTGTGCATTCTGTTTAAGTTTCAGACTTTTCTCCACAAAGTTACTCATCCAGCTGAAATACTGATATAAAAGTTAATTCATACTAGTTTTAAGAAAAGAGGGGAAAAATAGTTTCAGTTACCAACAAATGAGGGAGCAGTTTGAACATGTATATGCAAACTTTCTTTTAATCATACAGGGAGAGGCAGCATAACTTCCATTTTTAAAATGCGCGCCATTCAGTCGGTTGAAGACGTAGCAGAGCGCTAGTGGTCTTGTTCGAGAGGCGGGAGTATAAAGTTTTGTCCTGACACAGTTCAGTCGCCATCATGCGATGAAACAGTGAGGAGCGTGCTTTTGCCATTGAGGCATACTTTTCAAGCGGATTTGGAGTGGCCGGCCCGCTCTCCAGATCTGGCTCCTTGTGACTTTTTTCTATGGGGTTTTTTGACTACATGTGAACCGTCCAAGGACCCTACAAGATTTGAAGACCAACATCCAGGAAGAAATTGCCAACATAACGCCTGCTATGCTGGCAAGAATCATAGAAACAAAGAGTTGGAAGAGACCTCATGGGCCATCCAGTCCAACCCCCTGCCAAGAAGCAGAAAAACTGCATTCAAAGCACCCTGACAGATGGCCATCCAGCCTCTGTTTAAAAGCCTCCAAAGAAGGAGCCTCCACCACACTCCAAGGCAGAGAGTTCCACTGCTAAATGGCTCTCACAGTTAGGAAGTTCTTCCTAATGTTCAGAGGGAATCTCCTTTCTAGTATTGAAGTCATTGTTCCATGTCCTAGTCTCCAGGGAAGCAGAAAACAAGCTTGCTCCCTCCTCTCTGTGGCTTCCTCTCACATATTTATACATGGCTATCATATCTCCTCTCAGCCTTCTCTTCTTCAGGCTAAACATGCCCAGGTCTTTAAGCTGCTCCTCATAGGGCTTGTTCTCAGTTTATGGAGAATTGGAGACATCACCTACCTAATTTGATCTTCAAAACTACGTAAAATAAAACTTTAGGTATGTGTCTACATTATAAAAAAATCTCATTCATACAATGGGTTTTATTAAGTTTTGAAAAAAGGAAGTTATGCTGCCTCAACCTGTAATATCTACTCCAACTGGAGAGAACAGAAGGAATAAAAAGCAAAACATAGAATAACAGAAAACTATATAAATAGGTTGGGGTCGAAAGACAAAATCTGACAGATGCTAGAGTTTGCATATTTCTCAAACTACATTTCTCATAATTGATACTAAACTGTACAAAGGGTCAAAGAGCATTAGATGTGTATTTTCCTTTCTACAGGAAATTTTAACACCTCTGGTCACTCTATGTGGAAAAAAATGAGGGAAAGTGACTGACCTTCCAACTGCTCCTGTTGCTCCCATTGCAAGCGCACACAGGAGCTGCTACTTAGGGAAAACAAGAAAGCCAGGTTTTAGTTTCCTTGCAGCAGAAATATTCCTATTATTTCACTTATTGGGTAGAAATCATTCAAAAAATATCATGGTAACTCATTCTTTGGCAACAGAGGACAGAAGATGGAAAAAATAATACTATGGAACTACTTATAGAAAGTATGGACACTAACCCTAATGGTAAAAAGATTCTGGGAGCTCATGCCTTTGGAGAGTGACCATTTATCCCATTTCTGTTTGCTCCATCTATAGTGTTGTCCCTATGATGCACTTTCCCCCGTCCTAAACTGAAAGCCTACCTCACTGTTTATCTGTTTTGGGCTCCCCTCAATTACATATTTTTTTATTCCTACCTCATCCAGGTTGTACTGGTCCATTTAGTTTTCCAGTACAACCTTTGTACTTTGTACCACATCATGAGGAGACAGCAAAGCCTAGAGAAGACAATGATGCTGGGGAAAGTGGAAGGCAAAAGGAAGAGGGGCCGACCAAGGGCAAGATGGATGGATGGCATCCTTGAAGTGATTGGACTGACCTTGAAGGAGCTGGGGGTGGTGACGGCCGACAGGGAGCTCTGGCGTGGGCTGGTCCGTGAGGTCACAAAGAGTCGGAGACGATTGAACGAATGAACAACAACAACCTCATCCAGGATGTGATCTATTGTTTCATCTGCTTCCTTGCAGAGTCTAAATTTGGGATCTGTTGTCGACTTTTCAATTCTGGCTTTGATGGCATTGGTTCGAATTATTATTATTATTATTATTATTATTATTATTATATTATTATTATTAATGTTATATTATTATTATTATTATTATTATTATTATTATTATTATTATTATTATTAGGCCAAAAATGGAATATTGACCAGCTCCATAAAGGATCTTTGGCAATACCAAACTTTGTGTACAGATGTCTGGCAAGTTGCCTCTCACAATTCCCCTCCTATTCCACCAAATCCACTGCATACATCTACCTCATATTTTTCTTTGCGCTCTTCTTAGCCCACTCCTTTGAGTCTCCCCAGGATTTATTCTCTCCATTCCCTGTGTTGCTCTGATCACCAGACCACTGTCTTTGCTTCCTTTTTCCACCCAGCTGGTGACAAGCTCCTCAAATAGAACATCCTTCTAAATTTGGAACACATCAACTGCTTAACTGTCTGAGAAATGAGCTAGTAAGATCCACTTAGCAAGGAATATCCTCAGTAAGATCTAGCATAGTGGTTCAATGTTTCTCACTCTTCCTAATGCCATGACCCTTTAATACAGTTCCTCATGTTATGGTGACCCCCAACCATAAAATTATTTTTGTTGATACTTCATAAATGTAATTTTGCTCCTGTAATGAATTGTAATATAAATATCTGATATGCAGGATGTATTTTCATTGTTATAAATTAAACATAATTAAAGCATAGTGATTAACCACAAAAATAATATGTTTGGGGGAGTATGAGCAACCGATGATGGGATTTACTCTGACTTTTACAGACCACCAACACCCCCTTGAATGACAGATCTGGATCCCACACTTGGCATACAGACCCTCCATGAGCAATAGAAAATACTGGAGGGGTTTGGGAAGAATTCACAGTAATAGAATCCTAGGGTTGCAAGAGACCTCCAAGGGTCATCCAGTCCAACCTCCTTCTGCCATAAGGGAAAAGCACAATCAAAACACTCCTGACGGATAGTCATTCAGACTCTTCTTAATAATAATAATAATAATAATAATAATAATAATAATAATAATAATAATAGAATCCTAGGATTGCAAGAGACCTCCAAGGGTCATCCAGTCCAACCTCCTTCTGCCATAAGGGAAAAGCACAATCAAAACACTCCTGACGGATAGTCATTCAGACTCTTCTTAATAAATAATAATAATAATAATAATAATAATAATAATAATAATAGAATACTAGAGTGGGAAGAGACCTCCTGGGCCATCATCCAGTCCAACCCCATTCTGCCAAGAAACAGGAATATTGCATCCAAACAGATGGTCATTCAGACTCTTCTTAATAATAATAATAATAATAATAATAATAATAATAGAATCCTAGGGTTGCAAGAGACCTCCAAGGGTCATTCATTCTAACCTTCTTCTGCCATAAGGGAAAAGCATAATCAAAGCACTCCTGACAGATGGTCATTCAGACTCTCCTTTAATAATAATAATAATAATCATAATCATAATAATAGAATCCTAGGGTTGCAAGGGACCTCCAAGGGTCATCCATTCTAACCTCCTTCTGCCATAAGGGAAAAGCACAATCAAAGCACTCCTGGCAGATGGTCATTCAGACTCTCCTTTAATAATAAATAATAATGATAATATCCTGAGGTTGGAAGAGACCTCCAAGAGCCATATATTCCAACCTCCTTCTGCCATAAGGGAAAAGCACAATCAATACACTCCTGACAGATGGTCATTCAGACTCTTCTTAATAATAATAATAATAATAATAATAATAATAATAATAATAATAGAATCCTAGGGTTGCAAGAGATCTCCAAGGGTCATCCATTCCAACCTCCTTCTGCCATAAGGGAAAAACACTCCTGACAGATGGTCATTCAGACTCTTCTTAATAATAATAATAATAATAATAATAATAATAGAATCCTAGGGTTGCAAGAGATCTCCAAGGGTCATCCAGTCCAACCTCCTTCTGCCATAAGGGAAAAACACTCCTGATAGATGGTCATTCAGACTCTTCTTAATAATAATAATAATAATAATAATAATAATAATAATAATAATAAAATCCTAGGGTTGCAAGAGACCTCCAAGGGTCATCCATTCCAACCTCCTTCTGCCATAAGGGAAAAGCACAATCAAAGCACTTCTGACAGTCATTCAGACTCTCCTTTAATAATAATAATAATAATAATAATAATAATAATAATAATAATAGAATCCTAGGGTTGCAAGGGACCTCCAAGGGTCATCCATTCTAACCTCCTTTTGCCATAAGGGAAAAGCACAATCAAAGCACTCCTGGCAGATGGTCATTCAGACTCTCCTTTAATAATAATAAATAATAATGATAATGATAATATCCTGAGGTTGGAAGAGACCTCCAAGAGCCATATATTGGGTTTGGGAAGAATTCACAGTAATAGAATCCTAGGGTTGCAAGAGACCTCCAAGGGTCATCCAGTCCAACCTCCTTCTGCCATAAGGGAAAAGCACAATCAATACACTCCTGACAGATGGTCATTCAGACTTTTCTTAATAATAATAATAATAATAATAATAATAATAATAATAATAGAATCCTAGGGACGCAAGAGATCTCCAAGGGTCATCCATTCTAACCTCCTTCTGCCATAAGGGAAAAGCACAATCACAAGCTGGTGAAACTTTATGTTCCACTAGGACCAAATACGATCTTGATGACAGCCTGTATGTTTGAGGTATTCCTCCCCGCTTTTATGGCATAATCACTTGCATAGAAAGGGCTTACCTCATCCACACCATAGAGAAGAGCGAATTGGCCTTTATCGTTTTTCTTTGTACACCGTCCAAAATCCAAGAGGTCCGTGGAACTGAACTTCACTCCCGCAAAGCTGGGAATCTGCTGTATCATCCCATCTAGCAGCTCTTCAACACAAACTGCATGGAAAGGTCACAACAACAAAAAAACTAGATCTCGTTAGGGAAGGTACATGTATTATTGCTCACAACATTATGGCATAAGAGATGGCAGTTCTATTCTGCAAGACCTGGGAATATACCAGGAAGTCAAGTTGTGGAAGGCACATAATCATCATCATCATCATCATCATCATCATCTTTGTATTGTCGAAGGCTTTCATGGCCAGAATCACTGGGTTGTTGTAGGTTTTTTCGGGCTATATGGCCATGGTCTAGAGGCATTCTCTCCTGACGTTTCACCTGCATCTATGGCAAGCATCCTCAGAGGTAGTGAGGTCTGTTGGAATTAGGAAAAAGGGTTTGCTCCAGGCACAGTCAGCCTATTGTATGCTAATCAAGGTGGTCAGTTGAAACAGTCACATCTAGTTCCAGCAGACAAGAGTGCTTGCCATAGATGCAGGCGAAACGTCAGGAGAAAAATGCCTCCAGAACATGGCCATATAGCCCGGTAAAACCTACAACAACCCAAAAACTGTAATGTTAGTTTGTGGGATGAACAGAACTCAAAAACCACTGGACAAATTGACACCACATTTGGACACAATACACCTCTCAGGCCAACAAGTGACCATCACACATAAAAACACAAAAACACAGCAAAAGAAATACATTTGAACATGCAAAACCACACACACACACATATATATGCGCAAAACACATATATACACAAACACACATGTATACACAAATATTATGCTGTCAAGGTGATGCATGCCATATGCCAGCAAGTATGGAAAACACAAGAATGGCCATCAGACTATGGAAAAAATCAACTTATATCCCCATACCAAAAAAGGGAAATGCGAAAGACTGCTCAAACTTCCGTACAGTGGCCCTTATTATTAACAGAGCAACTTGGGAAACAAATAGAGAAATGTGATCAAGATCCTGCAAGGAAGACTCCAGCAATACATGGAGCGAGAGTTGCCAGATGTTCAAGCTGGGTTTAGAAAAGGCAGAGGAACGAGAGACCAGATTGCCAATATCCGCTGGATAATGGAGAAAGGCAGGGAGTTTCAGAAAAAAACATCTATTTTTGCTTCATTGACTATTCTAAAGCCTTTGACTGTGTGGATCATAATAAATTGTGGCAAGTTCTTGGTGGGATGGGCATACCAAGCCACCTTGTCTCTGAGGAATCTGTACAAGGACCAAGTAGCAACAGTCAGAACTGACCACGGAACAACAGACTGGTTCAAGATTGGGAAAGGCGTTCGGCAAGGCTGCATACTCTCACCCAACCTTTTTAACTTGTATGCAGAACACATCATGCGATGTGCGGGGCTGGATGAATGCAAAGCTGGGGTGAAAATTGCTGGAAGAAACATTAACAACCTCAGATATGCAGATGACACCACTCTGAAGGCCGAAAGCGAGGAGGAGCTGAGGAGCCTTCTAATCAAGGTGAAAGAAGAAAGCGCAAAAGCTGGGTTGCAGCTAAACATAAAAAAAACCAAGATTATGGCAACAAGAATGATTGACAACTGGAAAATAGAGGGAGAAAATGTGGAGGCCTGACAGACTTTGTATTTCTAGGCGCAAAGATTACTGCAGATGCAGACTGAGGCCAGGAAATCAGAAGACGCTTACTTCTTGGGAGGAGAGCAATGTCCAGTCTCGATAAAATAGTAAAGAGTAGAGACATCAGACTGGCAACAAAGATCCGCCTAGTCAAAGCCATGGTATTCCCTGTAGTCACCTACGGATGTGAGAGCTGGACCTTAGGGAAGGCTGAGCGAAGGAAGATCGATGCTTTTGAGCTGTGGTGTTGGAGGAAAGTGCTGAGAGTGCCTTGGTCTGCGAGAAGATCCAACCAGTCCATCCTCCAGGAAATAAAGCCCGGCTGCTCACTGGAAGGAAGGATATTAGAGGCAAAGATGAAGTACTTTGGCAACATCATGACAAGACAGGAAAGTTTGAAGAAGAGAATGATGATGGGGAAAATGGAAGGAAAAAGGAAGATGGGCCGACTAAGGGCAAGGTGGATGCATGATATCCTTGAAGGGACTAGCTTGACCTTGAAGGAGCTGAGGGTGGCCACGGCCAACCAGGAGCTCTGGCGTGGACTGGTCCGTGAGGTCACGAAGAGTTGGAGACGACTGAACGAATGAACAACAACAACAACATACAGAAATATATATACACACACACACATACACACACAAAACACATATACACAGGCTGGGTCACAGCAATGCGTGGCAGGGAATGGCTAGTAAACAAATATAAATGTAATAAACAGATTTTAAAAGCCTGATTTTGGTACATCTCTGAGACAAACTAGAATAATCTGAATGAGCAGCACTTACTTTTTATTCCAGTCAAGTGAGGGATGTGGTAATAATAGAATGGGATATCAGGAGCTTCAGCTGCAATATCCCGCAGGAAGGCAACCAGGGCATCTAAAAGAGAAAAGGCAAAGAAAACACTTGAATTGAATACCCAGGCAGAGAGGGAGAAGCAGGCCCAATTCAGCCTGCAGCGCTAGGATCTCATTTGACCCACTCTTACTTAGCAGTCATAGTTCTTAATTCATCTGGTCCTTTATCTTCCCAGGTAGGTCACAAGGTATAAAAAGACAGCTGAAAGAGGGGAAACCTACCATGCTCATCTATATAAATAAAAATGTAATGTTCGTTTGTGGAATTAACAGGAAGGAAAGAGGTAGAGAAGGAAGGAAGGAGAGAAGGAAAGAAGAAAAGGGAGGGAAGGAAGGAAAGAGTGAGCGAAGGAAGGGGGAAAGAAGGAGAGAAAGAGGATAGGAAGATTGGCCACAGCAATGTGTGGCGGGTACAGCTAGTCTATATAAATAAAAATGTAATGTTTGTTTGTGGAATTAACATAACTCAAAAACCGCTGGACAAATTGACACCAAATTTGGACACAAGACACCTCTCAGGTCAATGTATGCCCTTCATTAAAAAAAACCCCAAGGAAATAAAAGAGAGGACTTCCAGAAGTAATGAGAGAAGGAGGGAAAGAGGGAAGGAATGAGGGAGGAAAAGGGGGAAGGAAAGAAGGAAAGAAGGAGGGAGGAAAAGAGGAAAAGAAGGAAGGAGGGAAGAAAGGAAAGAACGAAAGATAGAGAAGGAAGGAAGGAGAAAAGGAAATTAAAAAGTTAAAGGAAAGAGAGAGGGAAGGAAGGAAGGAAGGAGAAGGAATGAAATACAGAAAGAGGGAGGGAAGGAAGGAAAGAGAGAAGGAAGGATGTAGCCAAAGAGCAAAGAAAGGGAGGAGAGAGGCCACAGCAATGCGTGGCAGATACAACTAGTATTACATAATTTAAGCAACTATGGTTCGCACATTTTTACCCTGGAATTCTTGTTTAGTAATCTCTCTGGTCTCTGAATTTTGGCTCTCATAGAGAATGTCCAAGCTGTAATAGCTAGAAATGCACCTTTCTTTTCTAAACGGAAGCAGACACTTTTGGAAAACAGATTTTGCACCATATATCATATTCTGCAGTTTGTTTGCACTCTCATGATATAAGCAAAACTCTTTCTCTTAGCAGTTAAAGAAGGCATGTAAATTGAGAAAACACTTGCCAAAATATTGGTTTTGTACTGATTAGGAAAAACTTGTTGCTACTAAGGGTTTGCAACGTACTTTTCCTAAGTTTTGGAAAGGATCAGGGCTGTTTCTGTTGCAGCTGATACAGTTAAATGATGGGTTGAGTGTATTATTATCTAATGTATATAATTTTTTTGTTGTGTCAGGAGCGACCTGAGAAACTGCAAGTCGCTTCTGGTGTGAGAGAATTGGCCGTCTGCAAGGACGTTGCCCAGGGGATGCCCAGATGATTTGATGTTTTAACAACCTTGTGGGAGGCTTCTCTCATGTCCCCGCATGAGGAGCTGGAGCTGATAGAGGGAACTCATCCGCCTCTCCCCAGATTCGAATCTGCGAACCTTCAGTCCTGCCGACACAGGGTGTGTTTGAGTATTGCATTCTATGCTTTGCTTGAGGACTTGTTTTGAGCTGAATTTTTTTTTTTTTTTTGGTGCCGGGAGCAGTTCTGCAAGCGTCCTGAAGATAAAGTTTGTTGACGGCAATTCAGCGGAACTAAGTGGGCTACTAACCTTTATTCACCTGTTTAAAGAAGGAGGGAGCAATAACTGCTATGCCATCTGCTCCTATTTCTGCTGCATGTCTGGCCTGAAAAGGGAGAAATAGAAGGAAAGGAAGGCTCACATTTATATTGCTAAAAATCCTTGTCATGATGGTGCTCCAGAAAAAGAAACGGGCAAAATGGCAACAACCATATCTTGTTGGACATAGGCATAAACGGAATAATACAGAATGCTTATCAAGTCTTAGATGTTTTATCTAGAATCATAGAGTTGGAAGAGACCTCGTGGGCCATCCAGTCCAACCCCCTGCCAAGAAGCAGGAATATTGCATTCAAAGCACCCCTGACAGATGGCCATCCAGCCTCTGCTTAAAAGCTTCCAAAGAAGGAGCCTCCACCACACTCCAGGGCCAGTGTGATCGCTCTAGGTCTGATCCTTGAGGTCATGACCCTTTCCTCCAACACTCCAGGGCAGAGAGTTCCACTGCTGAACGGCTCTCACAGTCAGGAAGATCTTCCTCATGTTCAGATGGAATCTCCTTTCTTGTAGTTAGAAGCCATTGTTCCGTGTCCTAGTACACATTAACTATTCAACCATTTCTTATGTTTAGATGGCATAACATTAACAATCACCAAAGTGCTGCCCATTTATTTTTTGGTTGTATTTTGCCACTCAATCTGTGTATTTGCAAAACAGTAAAGAGCACAAGTACAGTATAACCTTCCCGTACTAATACTAATAATAATAAACCTTTATTTATACCCTGCTAACATCTCCCGAAGGACTCGGTGCGGCTTACAAGAGGCCGAGGCCCAACACAACAGCATAACAATACAACAATAAATAAACTCATAAAACAAAGCAATAAACATTAAAACAGTAGCAATAAGCATTAGACAATAACACCACGACACATTTAAAAACTAAGGCCGGGCCAAATGTAATGATTAAAATTTTTAAAAATGCTAGACATGACCAGGTGAAATGGATAGGTTTTTTGGAGATATGTGCGGTGTGCAGACAATCTTATTCTCTAGTAAAGTGCATTTGGGACATGATGCTTAGAGTTTCCTATTCTGGGAAGGCACACTGGAACAACCACGTCTTCAAGCTCTTCCTAAAGACTGCCAATGTTGGGGCTTGTCTGATGTCCTTGGGGAGAGAGTTCCAGAGTTGGGGGGCCACCACAGAGAAGGCCCTGTCCCTCGTCCCCACCAATCGCGCTGGCGACGCATTTGGAATCGTGAGCAGGGCCTCTCCGGATGATTGAAGAGATCGTGTGGGTTCATATACGGAGATGAGGTCACGAAGGTAGGTGGGTCCCAAACCGTTTAGGGCTTTGTAGGTAAGCACCTGCACCTTGAATTGGGACAGGAAAATGAACGGCAGCCAACGGAGCTCCTTAAACAGGAGGGTTGACCACTCCCTGTAAGGAGCACCAGTTAACAACCTGGCTGCCGCCCATTGGACCAGTTGGAATTTCCGGGCCGTTTTCAAGGGCAGCCCCACGTAGAGCGCATTACAGTAGTCCAATCTGGAGGTCACCAAGGCATGGACCCCCTGGACAGATCCGCCTTCACTAAAACGGTCCCCAAAGGATGTCCTAAAGTTCAGGAAGGATACAAGACTAAAAGAACATAACTAGGGGAAAACATAGCATCTGGACCATCCTTGCCTAGACCACAGCTTGTAAATATCACTTTTAAGGTCTATCACTCCCAGAATCAGGAGAATTCTGGAATCTGTAGTGTAAACAAATTAATACATTTCCAAAACCTGTATTACTCCGAGAATTCAGGCTCTTTCCATTTGGCGCCATTGCATTTACAGAGAGGCCTCAAGGCAGACTTTTGGTGTTATTTTTTTTAAACTGAAAATGTGGTACTAGATATCGAGATTAATATGGAAAGAATTGGTATGAAGTAGCATACTAGGACTGTACCACTTATTTCCCTTAAATGTGACCTTTCAGTGGTCAGATAAATTTGGTCGTGTCAGGAGCAACCTGAGAAACTGCAAGTCGCTTCTGGTGTGAGAGAATTGGCCGTCTGCAAGGACGTTGCCCAGGGAACGCCTGGATGATCTGATGTTTTGTTTTGGTTTTTTTTTTGTCTCCAGATGAATCAGTATTCTCCTCTGCAAACATAAAAGGCGTCCCAAGGAAGAAAACAAACAAGCTGACTCACCAGTCCCTTTGCTTCTGGTAAACTTAGTGCTCCAACATGAACTATCACATGATCAAGCCTGCAAAAAAAGAAAAGGAATTATGCTTTTGATTGACAGATGGTAGAAATCATGACAGAAAGAGTCGTAATACTGATTGCATACAAAAAATATTTGCTTTATAGCTAAAGGTTTCTCCCTGACATTAAGTCTAGTCGTGTCCAACTCTGGAGTGTGGTGCTCATCTCCATTTCTAAGCCGAAGAGCCGGCGTTGTCCATAGTCACCTCCAAGGTCATGTGGCCGGAATGACTGCATGGAGCGCCGTTACCTTCCTGCCAGAGTGGTACCTATTGATCTACTCACATTTGCATTTTTTTGAACTGCTAGGTTGGCAGAAGCTGGGGCTGACAGCGAAAGCTCATGCCGCTCCCCGAATTTGAACCTGTGACCTTTTGGTCAACAAGCTCAGCAGCTCAGTGCTTTAACCCACTGCACCAGGGGCTCCATGTTTGCTTTATAACATGTATATAAAAATGTAATGCTTGTCAGGGCGCCTCCTTCAGATTGTTGTTGTTGTTCATTCGTTCAGTCGTCTCCGACTCTTCGTGACCTCATGGACCAGCCCACGCCAGAGCTCCCTGTCGGCCGTCACCACCCCCAGCTCCTTCAAGGTCAGTCCAGTCACTTCAAGGATGCCGTCCATCCATCTTGCCCTTGGTCGGCCCCTCTTCCTTTTGCCTTCCACTTTCCCCAGCATAATTGTCTTCTCTAGGCTTTCCTGTCTCCTCATGATGTGGCCAAAGTACTTCAACTTTGTCTCTAGTATCCTTCCCTCCAATGAGCAGTCGGGCTTTATTTCCTGGAGGATGGATGGTTGGATCTTCTCGCAGTCCAAGGCACTCTCAGCACTTTCCTCCAGCACCACAGCTCAAAAGCATCGATCTTCCTTCGCTCAGCCTTCCCTAAGGTCCAGCTCTCACATCCGTAGGTTACTACAGGGAATACCATGGCTTTGACTAGGCGATCTTTGTTGCCAGTCTGATGTCTCTACTCTTTACTATTTTGTCGAGACTGGACATTGCTCTCCTCCCAAGAAGTAAGCGTCTTCTGATTTCCTGGCCACAGTCTGCATCTGCAGTAATCTTTGCACCTAGAAATACAAAGTCTGTCACGGCCTCCACATTTTCTCCCTCTATTTTCCAGTTGTCAATCATTCTTGTTGCCATAATCTTGGGGTTTTTTTATGTTTAGCTGCAACCCAGCTTTTGCGCTTTCTTCTTTCACCTTGATTAGAAGGCTCCTCAGCTCCTCCTCGCTTTCGGCCATCAGAGTGGTGTCATCTGCATATCTGAGGTTGTTAATGTTTCTTCCAGCAATTTTCACCCCAGCTTTGCATTCATCAAGCCCCGCACATCGCATGATGTGTTCTGCATACATGTTAAAAAGGTTGGGTGAGAGTATGCAGCCTTGCCGTACGTTATAAATAAAGCATTATTATTATTATTATTATTATTATTATTATTATTATTATTATTCATGCCAGAGTCTTCCCTTTGTCTCTGGGCACATCTGATGGCAGTGCAAGAAACTATCTAGAAAGACCAACTTTCTCCACTATGCCACATACTGTCTCTTTTCCTAATTTTCAGCCTATAAGGAATAATGTAGGAAAAAGTCAGACCATGTTTACACAAAGAATCACTTTGCGAACAAAAGGAATGAACAGATTAATGAACAAGCTAGATGTTAACAGCAATTCTAGGAAGGTTTTTTTTTTTGCAGACTTCTACTACACAGAAGGTTATAGGAGCTTCTATACAATCCTCTGCTTTTAGTCAATGATTTATTTATTTAATTTAGTATTTATTTTTATTTATTATTTGAACTTATATGCCGCCACTCCCCTGGGGCTCGGAGCGGCTTACAAGAACAGGCTAAAATCGAACACAATTTAAAACAATTTAAAAACAATCAGAGATCAAAGGTCCATCGAAATAGATATGATGATAATGATAATACTTTATTTATAGGGCGTCCTATCTCTCTGAAGGGATTCAAGCTAGGAGGCCAAATGCAAAATAGCACAAAGACCCAGGAGGAGAGATGACAGGAGCCATGGTGTGTCATGACCAACTTCTATATACACCTGGAATATTGTGTCCAATTCTGGGCACCACAATGGAAGAGAGATATTGACAAGCTGGAATGTGTCCAGAGGAGGGCGACTAAAAGGATCAAGGGTCTGGAGAACAAGCCCTATGAGGAGCGGCTTAAAGAGCTGGGCATGTTTAGCCTGAAGAAGAGAAGGCTGAGAGGAGACATGATAGCCATGTATAAATATGTGAGAGGAAGTTACAGGGAGGAGGGAACAAGCTTGTTTTCTGCTACCCTGGAGACTAGGACGCGGAACAATGGCTTCAAACTACAAGAAAGGAGAGTCCATCTGAACATGAGGAAGAACTTCCCTACTGTGAGAGCCATTCAGCAGTGGAACTCTCTGCCCTGAAATGTGGTAGAGGCTCCTTCTTTGGAAGCTTTTAAACAGAGACTGGATGGCCATCTGTTGGGTGCTTTGAATGCAATATTCCTGCTTCTTGGCAGGGGGTTGGACTGGATGGCCCATGAGGTCTCTTCCAACTCTATGATTTTATTCTATATCTTCATAAATCTCTCTTCTGCACAAGAGCCCTGTCTTCTTTTGACTCTGACTATCCTACTAAGAATCCTCTCTTTCCTACCACTGAGTTTATATTCCCTCTCACCATGGAAATTTTTAAAACGGAAAACAGAAACAGACAACAGTTGCATAACCTCTTATTGAGTAAGAAATTCTCCATTTGGAAACAGCCTAACTTACATGCAAACTTTCAATTCTTTATTTTTAAAAAAGCAAAGGGGGTGGACGGGACTGAAAAGACCGATTGCACAATGTGTTTGTTTAGACAGGCCATTCTGTTTCTTATTTTGCACAAGACAGCAATTATTTTCTCTGAGTTACTCACTTATCTTTGCCCCTGGTCACCCATTCCTCCGCCAGCTGCTTCCTCTCCTGGATGCTCAGGGACAAGCCTTCCCCCGTGGTTCCATTCACTGTTACCAAAGTTGTAAAAAAAGGATTTAACATGCTCAGAAAGGATGGAATATATCTTTCTGCAGTTCAGATAAAGCCCTTCCTCACATCCTATTGCTTGCCAAGGCACATATAACACCACATAACAGAACTATTTTCATTTGTGAAACATGCTTGTGAAAAGTCTGTTTGGCAACTTCCTTTGAGATTTTTTCAGAGTTTTTTTTCTCCAGTAGCTGGACATTTATTAGTAAGTAGCAGCTGGGATCTGGGATATGTTCATTTTTGTCAAGCCACTTTGTAATTTAGGTGTTTGTATTGTTGTAGTGTTTGCTTAACTATATAGGAAACAAAATGGAAAAATGAATTAACAAAGTACGAGGGGTATTTTTTGAGTAAGGTCCGTTTTGTTGTAGACACTAGTAGTTTATTTATTTATACACTTGTATACCGCTAATATCTCAGCCTAAGACGGCGACTCATTGCGGTTTACAGCAGTTAAAAACAATATACAATTTAAAACAGCAGTACATAAACAATACAAATTATTGGGCCACCAATAATAATACCATGCATCTCGTCAATAAAATCACAATCCAGAATTCGTCATCCATAATTAACCAGTCCTTAGTCAGCAAAGTTCGGTAATAACAGACTAACCGAATGCTTGTTTAAACAACCAAGTTTTTAGTGTCTTCCGAAAAGCCATCAGCGAAGAGGCAGATCGTATCTCTATAGGGAGGGTGTTCCAAAGCCAAGGGGCCACCACAGAAAAGGCCCTGTCTCTCGTTCCCGCCAGCCGCGCTTGGGAAGCCGGTGGGATAGAGAGCAGGGACTCTCCAGAAGATCTTAGGGTCCTGGTGGGCTGATAGGCTGAGATACGTTCGGATAGATAAGTTGGGCCAGAACCGTTTAGGGCTTTAAAGGCCAAAACCAGCACTTTGAATTGAGCCCGGTAGCATATCGGCAGCCAGTGGAGCTGGTGCAGCAAGGGAGTTGTATGCTCCCAGCGCCCCGCTCCTGTTAGTACCATGGCTGCCGCCCGTTGGACTAGTTGGAGCTTCCGGGCTGTCTTCAAAGGCAACCCCACGTAGAGAGCGTTGCAGTAATCAAGGCGGGATGTAACCAGAGCGTGGACTACCGTGGCTAAGTCAGACTTCCCAAGGTACGGACGCAGTTGGCGCACAAGTTTTAATTGTGCGAATGCTCCCCTGGTCACCGCCGAAACCTGGGGTTCCAGGCTCAGCGATGAGTCCAGGATCACACCCAAACTGCGAACCTGCGTCTTCAGGGGGAGTGCGACCCCATCCAACACAGGCTGTAATCCCATACCCTGTTCAGCCTTACGACTAACCAGGAGTACCTCTGTCTTGTCTGGATTCAATTTCAATTTGTTCGCCCCCATCCAGACCGTCACAGCGGCCAAGCACCGGTTCAGGACCTCGACAGCCTCCTTAGTAGCAGGTGGAAAGGAGTGACAGAGCTGGACATCATCTGCGTACAGATGACATCTCACTCCGAAACTCCGGATGATCTCGCATAGTTTGCTTGCATACCGCAACAAGCGCGTGCGTGGTGTACCAGCATGCCTCGGGAACAACTGTGCTCAGTTTCCGCTCTGTAGCTAACCTGTACGGTTCTGTTCTGTGCTTTAAAAATGTTTAAGACTATCAACTCACCCTCCGCATGTGAGGTTCGCTCAGTGATACGGTTTTTGTCAGCAAGGAACCTGCCTGCTGCAGAAATTCATCGACAGATTTGTGAAGTGTACGGTGATACTGTTATGAGTGGAAGCAAAGTGCGTAAGTGGGTACGACAATTCAAAGATGGCCGTGACAACGTCCATGATGAGGACCGCTCTGGTCGCCCTTCTCTGATTACAGACGATTTGGTTATCGGAGCAGGCGGCAAGTTTTTATGAAGAGGGTATTTTAAAATTGGTTCAGAGGTATGATAAGTGTTTGAACAAACTTGGCAACTATGTCAAAAAATAGAGTGAAGTATGTACTTTCTGAAAATAAATTTAGTTTTTTGAAATAAACTTTCATTGTGTACTTATGCTCAAACGGACCTTACTTAAAAAATACCCCCCGTATTTCAACTACACCAGTGGTTCACATCCTTTGGTCCTTCAAATGCTTTGGACTTCAAGTCCCAGAAGTCCCAGCTAACTTACCAACTGTTGGAATTGTGGAAGCTGAAGTCCAAAACACCTGGAGGACCAAAAGTTGAAAACCACTGATTATACTAACAGTTTAACATCTTAGGGACATAAACATAAGGGACATAACATCTTAGGGACATAAGACAGAGGTCCTCCTGGTCAGTCGCAAGGCCGAACAGGGTATAGGGTCGCAACCTGTGCTGGATGGGGTTACACTCCCCTTGAAGGCAGAGGTTCACAGCTTGGGGGTCCTCCTGGACTCATTACTGAGCCTGGAATCCCAGGTTGCAGTGGTGGCCAGGGGAGCTTTCGCACAATTAAAACTTGTGCGTCCAGCTGCGGCCGTACCCTGGGAAGTCATGTGGTCCACATTCTCGTTACATCTAGGATAGACTACTGCAGGGGTCCTCAAACTAAGGCCCGGGGGGCGGATATGGCCCTCTAAGGTCATTTACCCAGCCCTCGCTCAGGGTCAACTTAAGTCTGAAATGACTTGAAAGCACACAACAACAAAAACAACAACAGCAATCCTATCTCATCAGCCAAAAGCAAACCCACACTTTCCATTGAAATACTAATAAGTTTATATCTGTTAACATTGTTCTCCATTTTAATTATTGTATTGTTTTTAAGTGTTTTCTTTTTTGCATTACAAATAAGATATGTGCAATGTGCATAGGAATTCATTCATGTTTTTTTTTCAAATTATAGTCCGGCCCTCCAACAGTTTGAGGAACTGTGACCTGGCCCTCGGTTTAAAAAGTTTGAGGACCCCTGGACTACTGCAATGCAGTCTACATGGGGTTGCCTTTGAAGACTGCTCGGATGCTTCAAATAGTCCAACAAGAGGCAGCCAGTTTAATAACTGGGGCGGCATACAGGGAGCATACAACTCCCATGTTACACCAGCTCCACTGGCTGCCAGTTTGCTACCGGGTACAATTCAAAGTGCTGGCTTTGGCCTATAAAGCCCTAAACGGCCCCGGCCCAATTTACCCGTCCGAACGTATCTTCCCCTATGAACCATTGCAGACATTAAGATCCTCTGGGGAGGCCCTGCTTTCTGTCCCGCCATTGTCACAGGTGCGATTGGTGGGGACGAGAGACAGGGCCTTCTCAGTGATTGCTCCCCGGCTATGGAACTCCCTTCCTGGTGAGATCAGGTCGGCCCCCTCTCTCCTGTCCTTTAGCAGGATGGTAAAAACTTGGCTGTGGGACCAAGCTTTTGGGACAGGGCAATAAAGCAGCAATAGGAAAGATGACCAGGCCAATTAGATTTGACGTGGATGACTGGGACAGTTTCTAAATGGTGTATTTTAATATTTTGATAAATGTTTTTAATTTTTTTTTGTCGTGTCAAAAGTGACTCCTGATATGAGAGAATTGGCCGTCTGCAAGGACGTTGCCCAGGGGACGTCCAGATGATTTGAAGTTTTTAATGTTTTTAATGGTTTTGATGTTTTTAATGGTTTTTTGATGTTTTTAATGTTTTTAATGTTTATGTATGAATATAAGAATTTGTGTCCCGGCATTGAATGTTTGCCATATATATGCTGTGCTCCGCCCTGAGCCCCCTTCGGGGTTAGAAGGGCGGAATATAAATGTTTTAAATAAATATATAAATAAATAAACAGCAATAATTTAATAGTATGCTACTGAAAGGTTGTTAACAGGAGCGGCACTCAGGGAGCACACCACTCCTCTGTTGCGCCAGCTCCACTGGCTGCCAATTTGCTACCGGGCACAATTCAAAGTGCTGGCTTTAGCCTTTAAAGCCCTAAACGGTTCTGGCCCGACCTATCTGTCCGAACGCATCACCCCCTATGAACCAGTTAGGACATTAAGATCGTCCGGGAGGCCCTGCTCTCGATCCCGCCAGCCTCACAAGCACGGCTGGTGGGGACAAGAGACAGGGCCTTCTCAGTGGTGGCCCCTCGGCTGTGGAACACCCTTCCCGCAGATCTTAGATCGCCCCCCTCCCTGCTGGTGTTCAGGAGAAGAGTAAAGACCTGGCTCTTTGAACAGGCGTTTAATTAAGCAGTGCAACCAATTGATTGATCTTGGAACTTGGAATAATGGACGAGGAGATCGGATTATGACTTTACTGATGAGACGTGATGGATTAGTTATTTGGATGTATTGATGTTATATTGATGTACTGATGTATTGTTATATTGATGTAGTTGCCTTAGTTACTGTTTTAAATGCTAATGTTGTGCACTTTGTATATTGACCTGTTGTAAACCGCACTGAGTCGCCTACGGGCTGAGAGAGTGCGGTATACAAATAAAGTAAATAAATAAATAAATAAAGTCCTTCAAGGGTATTGAGCCCTGAGTCTTTTCTGGAGTCATTACCTGTCAGGATTTCTGATAATTGGTGTTGGATCTACACTGCCATATAATTCAGGATTTGATCCCAGATTATCTGCTTTGAACTGGATTATATGATCATACTAGATTATATGAGTCTACACTGCCATATAATCCAGTTCAAAGCAGATTATCTGAGATCAGATACTGGATTATATGACAGTCTGGATGGGGCCTGGGAACATTTTCCATAGCATTTCATGTGTCATGGAATTCTGGCATGTGGCACCATGTCTAGGGTCATGGGCCAGAATGTACACTCTATTAGTGACATGCACTGCCCTAGTCTTTCAGTGGCCTCCTGTTTGGGTCACTTGAGCCAAGGAGAGTTTTGTTTTTTTGTCGTGTCAGGAGCGACTTGAGAAACTTGAGATAACAAGAAGATAACCCCTCCCTCTATCACAGGCTCAACTTGTGGGAACGAGGGAGAGGGCCTTCTCCGCTGTGGCCCCCCGCTTTTGGAAGAGATTAGGCAAGCCCCTACCCTAGCAGCCTTCAAGAAAGAGCTAAAAATGTGGCTCTTCCGATGTGCCTTCAGAGAGTGATCACTCAACTCATTTGTTTATTTCCACCTATAGTTGTCCTTATGATAAAGCAGCCTCCCCTGCCCTTTATAAAGGCAAAACCCCACTGCTCCTCCTTCTTGGGCTTCTCTTTCACAAATATACTTTTTATTCCTATCTTACCCAGGGTTTTAACGTTTTAACATTTTATCTCATGCATCTGGTCCACCCTTTGTGTTTGATTTTACTATGCTATTTTATAGTGTTTATTTTATTTGTTTTGTTATGATGTATTTTGTTGTTCTGTGTCTAATTATGTTGGATCGTGTTTAGGCTTGGCCTCATGTTAGCCGCCCCGAGTCCCCTTCGGGGAGATGGTGGTGGGTTATAAATAAAGTTTATTATTATTGTTATTTATTATTATAACACAAGGAGAGTTGACTTGTGTTATCTCACCGAACCAGCATGGTGTAGTAGTTTGAGTGTTGGACTACAATTTTGAAGACCATAGAAACATACTGGGTAACCTCGGGTAAGTCACAGATGTAAAACCCCTCTGAACAAATCTTGCCAAGAACACCCCATTATAGGTTTGCTTTAAGATGGCCATAAATTGGAAACAATTTGAAGGCATACGACAATAACAAAATGATATAACCATATCAACCATACCATACCAAACTTGCAAACTCTGTTTTTGTCTGTTTGTTAAAAAAATTGTTAAAAATGTAATACAATTTTCTGGTTGTAACTGACACGATAAATAAGTAAATAAATAACCATATCAACACAGATGTAATCCATTGAGCCTATGATTGGATGTATTTATAACTAGCCGTCCCCTGCTACGCTTTGCTGTGGCCCACAAGGGGGTTCTGTGTGGGAGGTTTGGCCCAATTCTGTTGTTGGTGGGGTTCAGAATGCTCTTTGACTGTAGGTGAACTATAAATCCCAGTAACTACAACTCCCAAGTATCAAGATTCTATTTCCCCCAAACTCCACCAGTTTTCACATTTGGGCATATTAAGTATTCTTGTAGAGTTTGGTGCAGATCCATCATTGTTTGAGCTCACCATGATCTCTGAACTACAGGTGAACTACAACTCCAAAACCAAAGGACACTGGCCACCAAACCCTTCCAGTATTTTCTGTTGGTCATGGGAGAACTGTGTGCCAAATTTGGTTCAATTCCATCACTGGTGGGGTTCAGAATGCTCTTTGACTGTAGGTGAACTATAAATCCCAGCAACTATAACTCCCAAGTGTCAAGATTCTATTTCCCCCAAACTCCACCAGTTTTCACATTTGGGCATATTAAGTATTCTTGTAGAGTTTGGTGCAGATCCATCATTGTTTGAGCTCACCATGATCTCTGAACTACAGGTGAACTACAACTCCAAAACCAAAGGACACTGGCCACCAAACCCTTCCAGTATTTTCTGTTGGTCATGGGAGAACCGTGTGCCAAATTTGGTTCAATTCCATCGTTGGTGGGGTTCAGAATGCTCTGTGATTGTAGATGAACTATAAATCCCAGCAACTATAACTCCCAAATGACAAAGTCAATTTTTTTTAGTGAAGGACATACATTGTGTTTTTAGGTGCATTGTGTCCAATTTGGTGTCAATTGGTCAATTTGGTGTCAGTGGTTCTAGAGTTCTGTTAATCCCACAAACGAACATTAGATTTTTTATTTATATAGATATTCCTTCAAACAATTAATTATTGCTTCATAAATTTAATAAATGAATTTATTCACACTAATTTTGCCCATTCCTCATGGGGGAAAAACAAGAAGGAGGGACTTTGCATGATGCTCAAACCCAGGATTATTTCTTTATTACATCCAAACAATCCAAGATTTCATGCAATTTTTGAAGCAGAGCTGACAATTTGCAGGTTGTTTCTTTGGGTTCAGACATCACACAAAAGTCTTATTCTTTCCCCAAGTTTAGTTCACCCATTCATGCAAAGGGAGGACAGAAATAAAAGTAAGTTGACTGCATGTACTAGCACATTCTATTGTATTAAACTATTGATGCATTGTGTACCTATTACTGGACAGGAGCAATGGGTACACAATGCCCATTTCTCCTGTCCAGGAGAGGTCTAAGGGCTATGCCATTTACACAAAAGCAAATGGGACTATTTAGACAATGGTGTAAAGGCAAACTTACCAAACACATTTCGAACACCTTGCTTGTTTATTAGGTAGTCAACATACTGGCCAATCACAGAGAGATTGATTTCTCTGAAAGAAATACAAGACATAAGAAAATTGTATTTATAAGTAACATCTCATAAACCGGTCTTAAGAAATGTAGAGCACACAGTAAATAAGAAAAGCTCTGATTAACTTCAAATATCCAGAGCGCGGTCTGTTCAGCGCCTTCCAAGTCGCCCAGTTTTCTGTGTGCCCAGGGGGGAGTCTCTCATTTAGTATCAGCCATTGATTGAGGTTCTGGGTTTGAGCCTGCCACTTTTGGACTCTCGCTTGCTGAGGTGTTCCAGCGAGTGTCTCTGCAGATCTTAGAAAACTATTTCTTGATTTAAGTTGTTGGCGTGCTGGTTGATACCCAAACAGGGCGTGGGCCGGAGATGTCACTGCCTTGGTCCTTTCACTATTGGCTGCTACTTCCCGGAGGATGTCAAGTGGTGCAATACCGGCTAAACAGTATCATTTCTCCAGTGGTGTATGGTGCAGACACCCCGTGATAATGTGGCATGTCTCATTAAGAGCCACATCCACTGTTTTAGCGTGGTGAGATGTGTTCCACACTGGGCATGCATACTCAGCAGCAGACTAGCATAGCGCAAGGACAGATGTCTTCACTGCATTTGGTTGTGATCCCCAGGTTGTGCTAGTCAGCTTTTGTATGATATTGTTTCTAGCGTCCACTTTTTGCTTGATATTCAGGCAGTGCTTCTTGTAGGTCAAGGCACGGTCCAGAGTGACTCCCAGGTATTTGGGTGTGCTGCAATGCTCCAGTGGGATTCCTTCCCAGATGATCCTCAGAGCTCGGGATGCTTGTTTGTTCTTGAGATGAAAAGCACATGTCTGTGTTTTAGATGGATTAGGGATCAGCTGGTTTTCCCTGAAATAGGCAGTAAGAGCACCTAGAGCTTTGGAGAGCTTCTGTTCAACCATCTCAAAGCTCCCTGCTTGAGCAGTGATGGCACGATCATCAGCATAGATGAAGCTCTCTGTCCCTTCTGGCAGTGGCTGGTTATTTGTGTAAATGTTGAACATGGATGGAGCAAGCACGCTCCCCTGAGGCAGGCTGTTCTTCTGTTTCCGCCATCTGCTTCTTTGGTCCTGGGACTCTCATTTAGTATCAGCCATTGATTGAGGTTCTGGGTTTGAGCCTGCCACTTTTGGACTCTCGCTTGCTGAGGTGTTCCAGCGAGTGTCTCTGCAGATCTTAGAAAACTATTTCTTGATTTAAGTTGTTGACGTGCTGGTTGATACCCAAACAGGGGGTTGATACCCAAACAAAAAACCTGTTTTGTAACAGATTTCTATGAGGCAGGTGAGGTGGCAATCCTTTGTGATCTTATACATTTTACTCTGGAGGAGGCAGTGGTTTGCAGTATCATAAGCTGCTGACAGGTCTATGAAGTCAGCTCCTGAATTAATGGCTAAAATTGATAAATCCTGATGGGGGAAATGTTGGAGATGCAAAACACAGAAAGGCCCTTCTTCCATGTTTGGTGGACCTGTATGGTGGCAAAAAAAGTTCTGGAAAAAGGTGACTAAAGAAACCAACAAAATGATTACTAATAAGGTTAAGAAAAACTCAGAAATGTGCTTGTTGGGTTTGTTTCAGGAGAGAATTGACAAAGACGGTGTAGAAATTTTCCAAGATAGTTTTGTGACAGTGAGAATGATTAGAGCAAAATCATGGAAGGGGGAAAAAGAACTACTTATTAAGGACTGGAGAAGAACATTAGTAGAGTATAGTCAAAGATATCCAATGGCATAAGGGGAGGAACAAAGAAGAATTTGCTCGAAAATGGAGACTGCCTTTGGGTATTTAAAATAGATTTTGAAATAGCTGAACAGGGGATTTATTAGTGTAATGATAAGGACTGATTTTGTTAGATACTAGTCCTACTTGGTGTGGTGTCATAAGTCATGGGTGATGGTTTTTTTTAAAAAAAATATTTATTTATCATGTCAGGAGCGAACCAAAACAGTTGTATTGCATTAAAAACAAACAAACAAACAAAACACAAAGTTTGCAAGCTTGGTAGTTGACCAGTAGTTGGCCATGGAGTGCCTCTGGTGTTGCCGCAAGGAGGTCCTCCATTGTGCATGTAGCAGGGTTCAGGTTGCATTGCAGCAGGTGGTCAGTGGTTTGCTCCTCTCCGTACTCGCATGTCATGGATTCCACTTTGTAGCCCCATTTCTTAAGGTTGGCTCTGCATCTCGTGGTGCCAGAGCGCAGTCTGTTCAGCGCCTTCCAAGTCGCCCAGTCTTCTGTGTGCCCAGGGGGGAGTCTCTCATTTAGTATCAGCCATTGATTGAGGTGCTGGGTTTGAGCCTGCCACTTTTGGACTCTCGCTTGCTGGGGTGTTCCAGTGAGTGTCTCTGTAGATCTTAGAAAACTGTTTCTTGATTTAAGTCGTTAGCGTGCTGGCTGATACCCAAACAGGGGGTGGGCCGGAGATATCACTGCCTTGGTCCTTTCAGTATCGGTTGCTACTCCCCAGCGGATGTCAGGTGGTACAATACTGGCTAAACAGTGTAATTTCTCCAGTGGTGTAGGGCACAGACACCCTGTGATAATGCGGCATGTCTCATTAAGAGCCATATCCACTGTTTTGGTTGTTTGGTTGCATGCTGTAAGTCGCTTCTGGAGTGAGAGAATCAGCTGTCTACGAAAACGTTGCCCAGGAGATGCCTGGATATCTTGCAATCCTGCGGGGAGGCTTATCTCATGTCCCCCATGGGTAGGAATGGGGAGGTGGCAGGACAGGGGAAATAATACTTGTATTTTGATTGTTGAATCTCTAAGATTGTATGCTGGTTTTTCCCCCCTATTTCACAATAAATTTTTATATAAAAAAGAGCAAGATTTGTACCTCTTGCTGACCGAAGCAAACTAGTTAAGATGGGAAAAACAATCTTCTCTTGTAGAGGAACTGCGAAACTATCACCACTTCAGGAGAGAGAAAATACTTAGAGACATGTCTTTGGGAATGACTCAAAATGTTGCTATTTCCTTCCCTTAAATGACCTACCCCCTTCAGTCCTTGATCTTAGCTCTTTGTATTGTGCAAGACCTCAAGAAGAAGTTGCAGATAATGCAGGAATCAGAGTGAATACGCTTTTTTTTTGTTAACCAGGAGGGCCTATCTTGTGCAATTATCTTTTTTTTTTGTGTGTTTAGATTACTCATGACCCAGTGGGAGGTTTTAAGTTTAACATGCAGATTTGGAGTAGATACTTTTAATAGCCTGTGATCAATGGCTCTAGGCATTTATGCTTCCTTAAGAAAAGACCCTTGTACCTGGGGCAGAATTATGCAATCTACAGAAATGGTTTGAATGAAGCTACCAGCATTTTTCACCATTGGCTACGTTGGGTAAGACTGATGGGACTGACAGTTCAACAACATCTAAAGAGCCTCGTGACCCTTTATGTGCTGTTATTTTATGTGATGTGCTGAATAATGTTTAATGTTCTATCAGGGAAGGGTCAATTTTGATGTTTTATACTGTTTTTTAAATTAATATCATTGAATTGTTGCCAACACTGTGAACCGCCCTGAGTCCCCTTCGGGGTTGAGAAGGGCGGTATACAAATACAGCAAATAAATTGTTCTGTCGTGCACTGGGCCTGTAAATAATTGCCTTTAAACAGGACGTGTGACTTGAGCCCAGCGGGAAGTCAGGGCCCCCCCGAAGAGAAGTTCTCAGAGGTTTTCCACCACAAAATGGTCTTTAGATGGCTTGTGAAGTATAACAAAGTCCTTTATTAATGAACAATCAAACAGAAACTTCTCTTGTCTTCAGAAAGTTAAACAAATGATTCCAGGCTTTTATGCAACTGGTGGCTTCCTGATCTTGTCAACGAAGGACAGGCAATTGTCTTCAATAACTAATTCTTTGCTTTAAAGGAAAATCCCCTTTTTTTAACTTCTCCCAGGCTGACTGTAATCTAATTCTTACTGATGTGGGCTCCGCTACCAGGTCGAATTGCGTCTCGAACGCCGAGTGGACCTACCAGTAAGGCTAGTAGATTCTCCAGCTGGAGTTCTTTGGTCTTTAGGGCTGTTTCCCTGGAAATCTTTGGAGACTCTTAAGACTATTCTCCCCTGGAAAGTCTTAAGGGTTGAAGCCTTTGTACAGGGGAAGCTTGCACACGTCCTGTACATTAGCTTTTCTTGCTGAGACTAACTAAAAATGGCTCCCTTCCCTTCCCAATTGCCCTGAACAAGGGGCGGAACCAAAATTTAATGATGATGGACAGGTGACTTGCCCTACGACTGCAACCAAAGAAGCCACCTATCTGCAGAGTCCCTGAAACCTAGGACTGCAAACAAACATTTAATACAAAGCAAATAAAGTTGGAGCTCCTGGTACAGCTGTACCAGCACATAAATCCTGCTTTACAATCTCAGACCAAGGTCCACCTTGTCCAGCATTATTTAACACATCATATTTTGAGAGGTGTTTTGAAAACAACTTGTGATGTGGCTTGAACGTCAAAACCTGGGAAGAGGATACAGTATCTTTTTGGAAACATCAGGCATAGAAAACTGAATTACTGTGTCGCGAAATGATTCATGTCGAAAAAGTGTGTCACCAACATGAAATGTTTGGAGCACTCTGCTCTACTTGCTCTAATACACACACACACACACACACACACAAAGACAGGTATATCTATTAAAACCTGGCTTTTCCGCTGTGCTTTTGGAGTGATTCTACATCACCTTTTGTTCACTCTCCATAATGTCTGCCCTCACACTGTATTTTTCCCCTGACTGTTTGAAGGTCTGTCTCCATTACTCCATTTTTTAAATGAGTTCCTCCTTCACAATTATTTGCTTTTTATTTCTATCTCATCCTGAGTTTTATCATCTTACCTTGTACATATGGGCCCGCACACTGTGATTGTGATTTATCTATTGTTGCATTTTGCATTATTGAATTGTACACTTTTTTATTTATTTTATTATGATGTCTATTTTGTGTTTTATTTTGTTGTAATGCATTTCTAGGCTTGGCCACATGTGAGCCGCCCCGAGTCCCCATTGGGGAGATGGTGGCGAGGTATAAATAAAGATTATTATTATTATTATTATTATTATTATTATTATTATTATTATTATATATATAGATAAAAATGTAATGTTCGTTTGTGGGGTTAACATAACTCAAAAACCACTGGACGAATCGGAGCCAAATTTGGCCACAAGACACCTACTAATCCAAGGAGTGACCATCACTAAAAAAAAAATGATTTTGTCATTTGGGAGTTGTAGTTGCTTGGATTTATTATTCACCTACAATCAAAGAGCATTCTGAACTCCACCAAGAATGGAACTGAACCAAACGTGGCACACAGGACTCCCATGACCAACAGAAAACACTAGAAGGGTTTGGTGGGCATCGACCTTGAGTTTGGGAGTTGTAGTTCACCTACATCCAGAGAGCACTGTAGACTCAAACAATGATGGATCTGGACCAAACTTGGCACGAATACTCCATATGCCCAAATATGAACATAGATGGAGTTTGGAGGAAATAGACCTTGACATTTGGGAGTAGTAGTTGCTGGGATTTATAGTTCACCTACAATCAAAGAGCATTCTGAACTCCACCAACGACTGAATTGGGGCAAGCTTCCCACACAGAACTCCCAAGACCAACAGAAAATACTTAAGGTCATCCAGTCCAACTCCCTTCACCATGGTAAGAAAACGTAATCAAATACTGTTTACCCAGAAGCATAAAGACATTACATATATTAGAAACCAACACTTTCTTATTACTTTATTTTCCAGATCACAAGACTGGGCCACAGCAATGCGTGGCAGGGGATAGCTAGTTGTTATTATTGTGCCCCCGGTGGCGCAGTGGGTTAAACCCCTGTGCCAGCAGGACTGAAGACCGACAGGTCACAGGTTCGAATCCAGGGAGAGGCGGATGAGCTCCCTCTATCAGCTCCAGCTCTTCATGCGAGGACATGAGAGAAGTCTCTCACAAGGATGATAAAGACATCAAATCATCTGGGCATCCCCTGGGCAACGTCCTTGCAGACGGCCAATTCTCTCACACCAGAAGTGACTTGCAGTTTCTCAAGTCGCTCCTGACACGACAAAATATATTATTATTATTATTATTATTATTATTATTATTATTATTATTAAAGATATAAAGCATGGAACCCACTTGCCTTGGACAAGACTGAGAAATAAGCTATGGTAAATGTCCTCTGAATAAATCTTGCCAAGAAAACCCAATGACAGGGTTGACATGTCTACAAGGCAAATAATAGAAGTGTGTGTGTGTGTGTGTATAAGATCCCTCCCCTGAAAAACCTAACATCATATTAGTTCATTGCCAGTTTAAAGGACATTTTCTTCTTTTTTTAAAAATAGATTTGCATCTGCAATTAAAGAAATGATATAATGACTCCTGATTTCAATATGTAATCAACTTGGGAGCCCACCGATCAATACCGCCGTTGCTTGAGGAATGCTATTGCCAAGGAAATATTTTACCCGTCCTGCGTCATCGGAGTGATGGTGGCTGCCACAAGGCCCTCCAATTTCTTTTGGGGTGACATGTCATCACTGGGTTGAAGACACACGAAGAGGATGAACCTTGGAGAGACAAGAAAATTGAGCAAGCTCTGTTAATACAAAAACTTTACAGGCAAAGTCCACAACAAACTGAATACTTAAGCATCTCAAATGGAAAGTTTAGATTTTACAATCACAGCAACCCCCTGTAGTTGCCATGTGCCTTCTGGTTGTTTCTGGTTTACGGTAATCCTAGCGCTTTGTTTTCATTACAATTTTTAAGAGGGGGGTTGCCATTGCCTTCCCCTGAGGCCAAGAAATTGTGTCATCCACTGGGACCCTTTCTACACTGCCATATAATCCAGATTATCAAAGCAGATAATCCACATCTGCTTTGAGCTGGATCATATGAATCTACATTGTCATATAATCCATTTCAAAGCAGACTGATTTTATATGGCCGTGTAGAAGAGGCCCTAGTGAGTTTTCATGGCCAAGTGAGTCCTAAGTTAACACTCAAACCGCTACTCCACACTTCCAATACAAAGTATAAATGAAATATGGGTTGTAGGTTTTTTGGGCTATATGGCCATGTTCTAGAGGCATTTTCTCCTGACGTTTCACCTGCATCTATGGCAAGCATCCTCAGAGGTTGTGAGGACCTCACAACCTCTTGCCATAGATGCAGGCGAAATGTCAGGAGAAAATGCCTCTAGAACATGGCCATATAGCCCGAAAAACCTACAACAACCCAGTGATTCCGTCCATGAAAATCTTCGACAATCTATATAAATAAAAATGTAATGTTAGTTTGTGGGATTAACATAACTCAAAAACCACTGGACGAACTGACACCAAATTTGGATACAAGACACCTAACAACCCAATGTATGTCCTTCACTCAAAAAAAAAGTTGATTTTGTCATTTGGGAGTTGTAGTTGCTGGGATTTATAGTTCACCTACAATCAAGGAGCATTCTGAACCCCACCAATGATGGAATTGAACCAAACTTGGCACACAGTTCTCCCATGACCAACAGAAAATACTGGAAGGGTTTGGTGGGCAGTGCCCTTTGGTTTTGGAGTTGTAGTTCACCTACAACCAGAGAGCACTGTGGACTCAAACAATGATGGATCTAGACCAAACTCTACACGAATACTCAATATTGCCAAATGTGAACACTGGTGGAGTTTGGGGGAAATAGAATCTTGACATTTGGGAGTTGTAGTTGCTGGGATTTATAGTTCACCTACAATCAGAGAGCATTCTGAACCCCACCAACGATAGAATTTGGCTAAACTTCCCACACAGAATCCCCATGTGGGCCACAGCAACACGTTGCAGGGGACGGCTAGTACATTAAATAAAATGTGTTTCAATAATAAATAAGACACGGACAATTCTGTGGTCCTATTTCCACAAAAGTCTGAGGATGACCCTAGACTTAGGCCCCTTCTATACAGCTGTATAAAATCCACATTATCTGCTTTGAACTTGATTATATGGCTGTGTAGACTAAGATAATCCAGTTCAAATCAGATAATGTGGATTTTCTGCTTTGAAAACTTGGGGCCCTTCCATACAGCCCTATATCCCAGAATATCATGGCAGAAAATCCCACATTATCTGAGTGTAGACTCAGATAACCCAGTTCAAAGCTGATAATGTGGGATTTTCTGCCTTGATATTGTTGTGACTCAGCTGGAACCACAGAGTGCCTCCGATGAGGATGATGGGATTCAGGTTCACAATCTGGTTCAAAATGTCCCTGTTATACTCAATGAGGAACAGGGTGTGAAAGTTCAGTTTCCCATAGCAAGAAATGAGTTTGTTGATACTGAAACTAGCCAGGTGCAGGTTGACTCCGAAAAGGAGGACAGTTCTCAGCCTGATAATGAGCAGGAAGGCAAACTGGATAACACTAACGAACAGACTGACCTTGACGAAACAGGAACCTTAGATCGTGCTGACCGTTTGGGATTCAGAGTTCGAAGGAGTGTGAGAATAGCTAACAAGAAGGAGGTTGGAGGCCAAAGAAACGCCTTCATGTTTCGCAAAGGGTATTAAGCAGTGTGTTTGGGATCAAACCTTTGTCATCTAATCACCTCTCAACAAAATATTGCTCCAGGCACTGCCAGGCAATCAAATGCTAATCAAAGTGGTCAATTGAAACATTCACACCTAGCTCCAGCAGACAAGAGTCCTTTGTCCCACCCTGGTCATTCCACAGATATATAAACCCTTTTTCCTAGTTCCAACAGACCTCACTACCTCTGAGGATGCTTGCCATAGATGCAGGCGAAATGTCAGGAGAAATGCCTCTAGAACAGGGGTCCTCAAACTAAGGCCCGGGGGCCGGATGCGGCCCTCCAAGGTCATTTACCCTGCCCTTGCTCAGGGTCAACCTAAACCTGAAACGACTTGAAAGCACACAACAACAACAACAGTCCTATCTCATCAGCCAAAAGCAGGCCCATAGTTCCCATTGAAATACTAGTAAGTTTATATTTGTTAAAATTGTTCATTTTAATTATTGTATTGTTTTTAAGTGTTTTTTGCACAACGAATAAGATATGTGCAGTGTGCATAGGAATTCATTCATGGTTTTTTTTTCAAATTATAATCCGGCCCTCCAACAGTTTGAGGGACTGTGATCTGGCCCTCTGTTTAAAAAAATTGAGGACCAAAAAGACCTACAACAACCCAGTGATTCTGGCTATGAAAGCCTTTGACAATACAGTGGAAGAGACTTTAAAAGCAAAAAAACAAAAAATACAACTCATGCACGAAAACACACACATATATATGCAAACACACGTATACACAAATATAAACATACTCATATATACACACACAAAACACATATACACAGACTGGGCCACAGCAAAGCATGGCAGAGGACGGCTAGTTTAAAAAGAAAGAAACCATAACCATGTAGCTTGAGTCGTATGAAATGTAAAGATATGCTCCCGATTTTGTGTCTTTTCTGGGGATTTCAAAGAGCGCGGTTTGCATCCCCCCCCCTCCTTCCCTTGGAAATGCCAACTATTTTGCATTCTCCGCACAAGCTCATTCCTTGGGACTTTTGGATTACTATGGAAACACTTGGGCATACTTATAAAACCAGCCATTATCAATCACTCTGTCGCTACCCTGTTGATATAGCAAAAGAAAAAGAAGAAAAAGCAGGAGGTTTATGGCATTTTGAGGAAGAACACAATTATTGCTGCTTAAGGGTGCATTAACACTGTGGAATGTTTTAACTTCCTTATTTTATTTTCCATACCCAGAGATTTTTGTTGTTATTGTTTATTTGTTCAGTTGCTTCCGACTCTTTATGACTTCATGGACAAGCCCATGTCAGAGCTCCCTGTCGGCCATCACCACCCCCAGCTCATTTAGAGTCAAGCCAGTCACTTCAAGGATACCATCCATCCATCTTGCCCTTGATCGGCCCCTCTTCCTTTTTCCTTCCATTTTCCCCAGTATAATTGTCTTCTCTAAGCTTTCCTTTCTTCTCATGATGTGGCCAAAGTACTTCATCTTGGTCTCTACCATTCTTCCCTCCAATGAGCAGCCGGGCTTTATTTCCTGGAGGATGGACTGGTTGGATCTTCTCGCAGACCAAGGCACTCTCAGAACTTTCCTCCAGTACCACAGTTCAAAAGCTTCTATCTTCCTTTGCTCAGTCTTCCCTATGGTCCAGCTCTCACATCCGCAGGTGACTACAGGGAATACCATTGTTTTAACTATGTGGATCTTGGTTGCCAGTGTGATGTCTCTATTCTTCATTATTTTATTGAGATTGGTCATTGCTCTAAGTGTCATTGTATATTGGCCATTGTATAAGAAGGAAGCATGGAAGCAAAGAGAAAGGGAGAGAAAGAAGTAGGAAAAGAAAAAGGGGGAAGGAAGGAAAGAGGTAGAGAAGGAAGCAAGGAGGGAAAGAAAGGAAGAAAAAAGGGAAGGAAGGAGAGAGGGAGCGAAGGAAGGAGGGAAAGAAGGAGAGAAAGAGGGAGGAAAGGAAAGAGAGAAGGAAGGATGGAAGCAAAAAGCAAAGGAAGGAAAGAGGTAGAGAAGGAAGAAAGGAGAGAAAAGGAGGAAAAGAAAAAGGGGGAGGAAGGAAAGAGGTAGAGAAGGAAAGAAGGAGAGAAGGAAAGAAGAAAAGGGAAGGAAGGAAGGCAGGGAAGGAAAGAGAAGAAGAAAGGAGTGAAAGAGGAAGGCTGGCCACAGCAACGCGTGGCAAGTACAGCTAGTATATTATATTATTAGCATAGTACAATATCAGTATTATATATTACTATACTGCACTATATCATTATGGAAAGTCCCTGGTGACGCAGGGGTTAAGGCGCTCAGCTGCTAAGCTTGTTGACCGAAAGGTCGCACGTTTGAATCCGGGGAGCAGCAAGAGCTTCTGCTATTAGCCCCAGCTCCTGCCAACCTAGCAGTTCAAAAACATGCAAATGTGAGTAGATCAATAGGTCTCTGGCGGGAAGTTATGCAGTCATGCCGCCACATGACCTTGGAGGTGTCTATGGACAACGCCGGCTCTTCGGCTTAGAAATGGAGATGAGCACCACACCCCAGAGCCGGACACGACTGGACTTCATATCAGCAGAAAACCTTTATTTTTACTATACCATTATATTGTAATATTATTAGTAATATTACATGTAATATAAAATATATAATTATAACATTGCATTATTATTAGTATTATTATATTGTATTATAACTAGCTGTACCCGCCATGCATTGCTGTGGCCAACCTTCCCTCCCTCTTTCTCTCCTTCTTTCTTTCTCTCCTTCCTTCTTTTTTTCCTCTTTTTCTTTCCTTTCTTATTTCTTCCTTCTCTACGTGTTTCTTTCCTCTCTTCCTTTGCTTTTTGGTTCCTTCCTTATCTCTTTCCTTCCTTCCTTCCCTCCAGGGAAGCAGAAAACAAAGAATCAAAGAATCAAAGAGACAAAGAGTTGGAAGAGACCTCATGGGCCATCCAGTCCAACCCCCTGCCAAGAAGCAGGAATATTGCATTCAAATCACCCCTGACAGATGGCCAGCCAGCCTCTGTTTAAAAGCTTCCAAAGAAGGAGCCTCCACCACACTCCGGGGCAGAGAGTTCCACTGCTGAACGGCTCTCACAGTCAGGAAGTTCTTCCTCATGTTCAGATGGAATCTCCTCTCTTGTAGTTTGAAGCCATTGTTCCGCATCCTAGTCTCCAGGAAGCAGAAAACAAGCTTGCTCCCTCCTCCCTGTGACTTCCTCTCACATATTTATACATGGCTATCATATCTCCTCTCAGCCTTCTCTTCTTCAGGCTAAACATGCCCAGCTCCTTAAGCCGCTCCTCATAGGGCTTGTTCTCCAGACCCTTGATCATTTTAGTCGCCCTCCTCTGGACACATTCCAGCTTGTCACTATCTCTCTTGAATTGTGGTGCCCAGAATTGGACACAATATTCCAGGTGTGGTCTAACCAAAGCAGAATAGAGGGGTAGCATTACTTCCCTAGATCTAGACACTATGCTCCTATTGATGCAGGCCAAAATCCCATTGGCTTTTTTTGCCGCCACATCACATTGTTGGCTCATGTTTAACTTGTTGTCCACGAGGACTCCAAGATCTTGTTCACACGTACTGCTCTCGAGCCAGGCATGTCCCCCATTCTGTATCTTTGCATTTCGTTTTTTCTGCCAAAGTGGAGTATCTTGCATTTGTCCCTGTTGAACTTCATTTTGTTAGTTTTGACCCATCTCTCTAATCTAAAAAGTATTGTTATATTGTAATTTCTGTTCAGGCTTGGCTCCACGTAAGCCACTCGGAGTCCTGTTTGGCGAGATGGTTGTGGGATACAAATAAAGTTTATTATTATTATTATTATTATTATTATTATTATTATTATTATTAGTTTTTGAGTTATGTTAATCTGACAAACGAACATTACATTTTTATTTATATATAGATATTATAAATATTATATGTTTATATATTATATTATATTATATTACAGGGTAGAAGGGACCTCAGGCTGGACCTACACTGTCCTATATCCCGGGATCTGATCCCAGATTATCTGTTTATCCCAGATTATCTGGCAGTGTAGACTCATATAATCCAGTTCAAAGCATATAATCTGAGATCAGATCCTGGGACATAGGACAGTGTAGCTCCAGCCTCAGTTTCCCTTCTCCAATGTCTGTATATCCTTCAGAACAAGGGGATTCCAGTGCTGAAAAACTTCTGCTGGAACTACTATTTTTATTATATTGAAAGACTCTTTGCAAATTACAGCAATCAGATCATCTCTTAGTATTTTTTTCTGCTGAAAAAAAAAACCAAAACAGTTTACCTGGGCATCCCCCTTTAGCAATGCCTTTCTCATCTTTCTCGGTTCACACAGATCCCCAGCAGGGCATTCAACAAACTTACCTGCTTGCAGGCTGCTTCCTAGGACTTCTGGAGCGGCTGCCTTAGCCTTATATTTACCTTGAATGAATCACCGAGCAAACCCGGCGGTTCTGAGCATGCGCAGAAGGGACGCGTGACTCCCTTTGGCTGGAACTGGGGCGGTCCTCTTTTTCTCAGCCACTGAAAAACATAGGCTGTCCTTAGCAGGGAGCTTTGGAGGTTGCCTCCAGAAATGTAGACACCCTTAAACAGCTGAAAGTAGCTAGGATGATCATTTCAAAAGGTATGTAAAAGATAGAAGATAGATAGAGAGGGCCATCCACACAGCCCCATATCCCAGAATATCATGGCAGACTCAGATAACCCAGTTCAAAGCAGATATTGTGGGATTATCTGCCTTGATATTCTGGGATATAGGGCTGTGTGGAAAGGCCCAGAGAGAGGAGGGATTTACCTACCTATCTTACTTACTTAGACGATCCCCGTAGTCCGAGTAGGATAGTCTTGGTTACATCCCCGTATAGACTACTGCAACGCTCTCTACGTGGAGTTGCCCTTGAAGACTGCTCGGAAGCTTCAAATGGTCCAGCGTTTGGCAGCCAGGTTGCTAACAGGAGCGGCACTCAGGTAGCATACCACTCCTCTGTTGCACCAGCTCCACTGGCTGCCAGTTTGCTACCAGGCACAATTCAAAGTGCTGGCGTTAGCCTATAAAGCCCTAAACGATTCTGGCCCTACTTACCTCTCCAAACGCATCTCCTCCTATGACACTAAGGACACTAAGATCATCTGGGGAGGCCCTGCTGTCGGTCCCGCCTGCATCACAGGTGCACTTGGTGGGGACGAGAGACAGGGTCTTCTCAGTGGTGGCCCCTCGGCTGTGGAACGCCCTGCCTGCAGATATCAGATGGGCCCCCTCCTTGCATACTACTCCTCTGTTGCGCCAGCTTCACTGGCTGCCAGTTTGCTACCGGGCACAATTCAAAGTGCTGGCGTTAGCCTATAAAACCCTAAACGGTTCCGGCCCTACTTACCTCTCCGAACGCATCTCCTCCTATGAACCGGCTAGGACACTAAGATCATCTGGGGAAGCCCTGCTCTCTGTCCCGCCTGCATCACAGGCACGCTTGGCGGGGACGAGAGACAGGGCCTTCTTAGTGGTGGCCCCTCGGCTGTGGAACGCCCTGCCTGCAGATATCAGATCGGCCCCTTGCCTGCTGGCATTTCGGAGGATAGTGAAGACCTGGCTGTTCGAACAAGCATTTGATTAAACAGTGTAATTGAACATAGGAATACGGAATAATGGATGATGAGACTGGATTCTGATTTTACTGTTGAGGCGCTAATGATTGTTATACGGATGTTTGATTTATGTTACAATTGTTTTTAATTGCCCTATACTTTTCTCGTGATGTTGTTCACCGTTTTGAGTCGCCAGACGGCTGAGAAAAGCGGTATGTATATAAATAAAGTAAGTAAATAAATAAATATATAGTCTTACAGGATCAGTGTTCTGGTGGATCCGTAGGTGACTGTGGAGCTCTATTTTTGACCTGCATGTTCTCCCACAGTGAGGGCATTGGTTTCCAGGTGGAAGGCGGTCCTGGTCCGGGTTGGCTTGACATGCCTTCCTCTTGGCATGTTCCTCTCTTTCACCCTCCATTTGTGCCTCTTCAAATTCTGCAGCACTGCTGGTCACAGCTGACCTCCAGCTGGAGCGCTCAAGAGCCAGGGCTTCCCAGTTCTCAGTGTCTATGCCAGAGTTTTTAAGGTGGCTTTGAGCCCGTCTTTCAATCTCTTTTCTTGCCCACCAACATTCCGTTTTCTGTTCTTGAGTTCGGAGTAGAGCAACTGCTTTGGGAGACGGTGGTCGGGCATTCGGACAACATGGCCGGTTCAGCGGAGCTGATGGCAGAGGACCATCGCTTCAATGCTGGTGGTCTTTGCTTCGTCCAGCACGCGGACATTTGTCTGCTTGTCTTTCCAAGAGATTTGCAGGATTTTCCGTAGGCAGTGCTGATGGAAAAGTTCCAAGAGTTGCATGTGACGTCTGTAATAATAATAATAATAATAATAATAATAATAATAATAAACCTTTATTTGTACCCCGCTATTATCTCCCGAAGGACTCGGTGCGGCTTACAAGAGGCCTAGCCCAAATACAATAGTACAAACAGCAGCAACAACAAACAGCAAAATAACTTAAAAAACAAGGCAATAACATTAACAACACACAATGACACAATTAAAAACATTGGCAGGGCCAAATGTAATAATGAAAATTAAAAAGTGCTGGGTATGACTAGGTGGGGTGTTTGGAGTGGGGTGGGTATGCAGATATCCTGGATCTCTGATAAAGTGCGTTGGGACATAATGCTAGGAGTGCCCTTATTCTGGGAAGGCACACTGGAACAATCACGTATTCAAGCTCCTCCTAAAGATTGCTAGACAGTCCAGGTCTCACAGGCATATAGCAGGGTTAGGAGGACAATCTATATAAATAAAAATGTAATCTTCGTTTGTGGGATTAACATAACTCAATAACCACTGGACAAGTTGTCACCAAATTTGGACACTACACCCCTAACAGACCAACGAGTGACTCATAAACCCCTCCCAAAAAACAGGGGAAAGGTTTTTAAACCCAAAAAGCTAAATGATGATACAGTGCATGTGTGAAAACAACAGCTCCCAGCATCCCCTAAACCAGGCCCTTTTGGGGAGGAGGATGCTCCAAATTCACTGCTTCCAAGCTGAAAGCTTGCTTTTTCTTGGAATTCTTTGAGAGCATCCTAATTCCTGCATATTTCATAGAATCATAGAATCAAAGAGTTGGAAGAGACCTCATGGGCCATCCAGTCCAACCCCCTGCCAAGAAGCAAGAATATTGCATTCAAATCACCCCTGACAGATGGCCATCCAGCCTCTGTTTAAAACCTTCCAAAGAAGGAGCCTCCACCACACTCTGGGGCAGAGAGTTCCACTGCTGAACGGCTCTCACAGTCAGGAAGTTCTTCCTCATGTTCAGATGGAATCTCCTCTCTTGTAGTTTGAAGCCATTGTTCCTTGTCCTAATCTCCATGGAAGCAGAAAACAAGCTTGCTCCCTCCTCCCTGTGGCTTTCTCTCACATATTTATACATGGCTATCATATCTCCTCTCAGCCTTCTCTTCTTCAGGCTAAACATGTCCAGCTCCTTAAGCTGCTCCTCATAGGGCTTGTTCTCCAGACCCTTGATCATTTTAGTCGCCCTCCTCTGGACACATTCCAGCTTGTCAATATCTCTCTTGAATTGTGGTGCCCAGAATTGGACACAATATTCCAGGTGTGGACTAAGCAAGGCGGAATAGAGTATGGGTAGCATGACTTCCTTAGATCTAGACACTATTCTCCTATTGATGCAGGCCAAAATCCCATTGGCTTTTTTTGCCGCCACATCACATTGTTGGCTCATGTTTAACTTGTTGTCCACGAGGACTCCAAGATCTTTTTCACACGTACTGCTTTCGAGCCAGGCGTCACCCATTCTGTATCTTTGCATTTCATTTTTTCTGCCAAAGTGGAGTATCTTGCATTTGTCACTGTTGAACTTCATTTCGTTAGTTTTGGCCCATCTCTCTAATCTGTCAAGATCGTTTTGAATCCTGCTCCTGTCCTCTGGACTAAAGCAGGTCTGCACTTCCCATTGAAAGACTGGTAAGTTTAAGTTGGTTAAAATTGTCCTTCATTTTCCATATTGGTACCATTCCACTATTGAGATGGAGGACACTGGGGGGCACAATAGAGAGAAGGACCATCCATTTCATGGGGGTGGAGGGTGGGTTGAAGAAGGAGTAAAACCATTTCCCCTTGTTTTCCTGTTATTCCCCCCACCCATGTCGCTATCATGAAAACAACACTCCTTTATATGGGAAGGGAGGAGGGGAATATTTATTTATTTATTTATTTAAAACATTTCTATTCCGCACTTCTCACCCCAAAGAAGACTCAGGGCAGAGCACAGCATATACACGGCAAACATTCAATGCCAGGACACAAATTCACATACAATACATAAACATTAAAAAAAAAAACATTTATCGAAATATTAAAATACACCATTTAAATATTTTTATTGTTTTATCATAGTTATTACATTTGTTATACATTTGTTTATGGCAGTTACATATTATTCAATACACTATTTAAAACCATCCTAGTCATCCACGTCAAATCAATTGGCCTGGTCATCTTTCCTATTGCCACTTTATTGTCCTGTCCCAAAAGCTTGGTCCCACAGCCAAGTTTTTACCATCCTTCTAAAGGACAAGAGGGAGGGGGCCGACCTGATCTCACCAGGGGAGCAATCAGCAAGAAGGCCCTGTCTCGTCCCCACCAATCACGCCTGTGACAATGGCGGGACGGAAAGCAGGGCCTCCCCGGAGGATCTTAATTTCCGCAATGGTTCATAGGGGGAGATGCGTTCGGACAGGTAATAATCAGTGAATGTGAAGAAAAATGATTTTCTTCCTTCCCCCCCCCCCCCCCCCATGGACTATCCTTCTCTCTCTAGTGCCACCTAGGTGCCTCTATTAGGATAATGGAACAGTACCTAAATATTCAATTGCATCATTCTTTCATTTTTTTTTGCACTACAAATAAAATATGTGCAGTGTACATAGGAATTCTTTTTTTAAAACTATTTTTTTTGTCGTGTCAGGAGTGACTTGAGAAACTGCAAGTCGCTTCTGGTGTGAGAGAATTGGCCGTCTGCAAGGACGTTTCCCAGGGGACACCTGGATGATTTTGATGTTTTTATCATCCTTGTGGGAGGCTTCTCTCATGTCCTTGCATGAGGAGCTGGAGCTGATAGAGGGAGCTCATCAACCTCTCCCCGGATTCGAACCTGTGACCTGTCGGTCTTCAGTCCTGCCAGCACAGGGGTTTAACCCACTGTGCCACTGGGGGTTCCGGTGCTTTTCAAACTATAATAATAATAATAATAATAATAATAATAATAATAATAATATAATAAAACTTTATTTATACCCCACCATCATCTCCCCAAGGGGACTCAGGGCGGCTTACATGAGGCCAAGCCCTGCAAGGGGGGCGGGAGCGAGAGCAAGGCCTCTC